TACATGCTCAAGGCGCTAGTATATTTTTTCCCTCAACCACTGGATGTCAATCTCAATGGCACATCGTATTATCAATCTCAACTCCCTGGGAAACATATAACTCTTGCAGCCACTAGGCGCACCAAGGTATTGCGGCTTTCCTATCCTTACAAGGTACCCATTCACAGCTGGGTATTTGTAAATACACATAGATAGACATGAACTTAGAGACACTGTGTTATCGAAGGCTTGTCCTAAAAAAAGAATACATTTAAAAATATTTTAATAATTATATTTATAGAGTTCAAGCAACAAATACAACAACAAATCTGAAAACATGCTGGCTATATATACTGAATATTGCCACCTTACATCTGAGATATTCCAGACTGTGTTTTCACAGCTTCCTCATTCTAAATACCAAAACAAGGTACCATACACAGCGATATCTGACACTGACAGTGTGTAATACAAGAGTTATAAGAAACCTTCTTTAGTAGATCGTTACTTTAGAATGTTGTGACACAGTGGATTATGTCACATGCCTCTGTAATGCTTGAACCTGTGGTTGACACAATGTGACAGGAAGAAACTACTAAACTACAAAGCCGTTATCAAATTTAACATCTAATCATTGTAGCATCCATTTTGCTTTTGCACGGGTTTTTTTTCAAATTTGTGAGTTCTTATTTTAAAAAATGGTTAATCTGCAAGATTCCCAGGATCCTGAATCCAGTCTGAATATTGTTGAAAGTACATTTAATCACATTGTAGTCATTTTAAATTTGCATAATAAACAGTAAACACATTCATTAGTTCTCCTGACATCCACATGGATTCTGTGTTAGGGACCATTCATAATTTATGGCTAGGGGGGATGATGATGATGATTTTTATGGAGAAGCATGAACAATGTGAATGACCCCCCCTAAAATTTATGTACAAAGTAAGTGACCCCCCCTGCATGTCATGTACAAAATCAATGACCCCCCTCCCCTGCCCATAATTTCTAAGCATAATTTTAAACATATTTATCTGTACAAAATTGATGACCCCCATAGTACGTGTGCACAAAATTGATGACCCCCTAGCTCGCCAGAACAAAATGGGTGACCCCCCATTAAAATCATCATCACCCCCCCTAGCCATAATTTATGAACGGTCCCTTAGTATACACCCCTGGATTCTTTGCCATCAAAAGAGACAATTTTATTGGTCTAGTAATCAGGATAACTGACAATAGTTTATGGTGTGACATTGTACCATGAAGACTTGAACGATTCCTCCTAATACCTATCACTGGATTGTCTAATCCAGACATTTATTTAAGGATTGTTTTTAAATGTTTTGTCAGTTAATGTAAAACAATCACACTGTGGTATGTGCAAACATACATACATGCACACATATGTATGCACATTAAATCATAGTTTATGTGTACATAATATTGTTCATGCTTCCAAATGGTACTCTATATATTCACGCCCATCATTATCTCTTTCACAGTCTACTAATTAGATCCATTAACACGACCTGAGATCTAATTGGTTCGGCAGTAAATAGCCAAGGCTCTTCAAAGGGAAACAATATTAATGACATTTTGCTTCTCCCATGTGAGCAGATGCCCTTGGTTGTGTGTCTGGGGGTGATGAACACCCTCAATATTTAATCCTCCCTCATGGTATATAATCATTTATTTACCACCTCCCTGCCTGGGATGAGCCATTGGCGCCACAGAATGGCTCTATCACCATGGCATGTCTCTGTGATTGGTTAGAGGGAGTCATGCATGATTTCTTGTAATGCTAACAGGAATATTTGTTGCTACAGGGATACTGAGTTTAAACAAATACTTTTCTCAAGGATATACATTGGGTTTTCCCCAATGAACCAACTGTTTTGACCATGTAAGTATAACTTTTGAAGTTCTAGATTCTATTAATGTGGCAGAAATGCCAGTGACTATATCAGTGACTTTTCAATGCTTTATTGTACCTGGAACACAGACAATTTGAAAGAAACCTTTCTTCATTTATTAACCACAGGTAACCAAGAATAAGAAAGATAGGATGCTAAATGAATGACTTCTTTATTATGTAACATGGTGTAATGTTTCAGTACAGATTCTAGTACCGTTGTCCAGCGGTACCATTATGAGTCTGGTCTGGGGAGTCTGTGGTGTCTCAAACTGCCTTTTTAAACAAGTCAAATATAGGTCATTATGTTATGTTATGTTTCAACCATAGCATGGTTGATGTGATGTCAGATAAATCACCCAAGGCTGTTGATTCTGGAAGCAGAATTGACAGATTCTCTTGATTTCAACATCACTTCTTAGTGCCATTCATCTAGGGAATCTAGTCTGCCAATGTATGTCTTTCAGTATTTCAATCTCAAGGAAATTAGAACAGTTTTAAGAATGGTGAGGCAGATGATACAGTGTCATATCCATAAGTATGTGTTACATTGGTAACCATGTCAACAGGTCAGTGTTCTTTGCAGTTGATTTCTCAGCTCCCCTAGGAGTATACCATATAGAAGACAATTATTGGTATCTGTATTAATGATACTATTGATTATAAGTTGTCTGTGTTTTTATGTGCCTTGTTTTTCCACTGAAATGTTGATTTATGATTTTGTATAAACTTTCAGTACTTTTAGATTAAACTTGACAAATGACAGTTCAAAACAGTACTATTATTTATATCACATGCAGTCCATGCCAAAAGCCTTTGAGTTAACAAAATTGATCCTGTCGCTTGTCATCTGTCATTTTCAGTAGATGTCAGGGTTAACATATGGACTTTTATAGGCGAGAATTACAGGAATGACAGAAATTTTACTAGACTCAGACTGTGGAGTGTTGGCTATAGTCATATACAACATGGACAACTGAAACACTTCCACAGTTGGTACACCTATCAAACCAAAACACAGGTCAATACAAGGTTCGTGGATTAGCCAGGTTCAACTGTACAACACCGGTGTTCAGAGTAACATTCATTTGGTCTGTTATGTGGGAGTGTAGAAGCTAAGTGCTGTGGAATTACATTTATTGTCATGAACTTAATTTAAGACAGTGTGACACATGGGTTGTAATGTGTGATACTATCTAGTTATAAATATCCTTGCCGTGTACACTGTTTAAAATGAATTAATGTATACTACTCAGAAAACGTCCAAGAACACCAAGGTAATCTGTCATGCCATGATAGATTGACTAGTACAGTAAACCATGGTTATAGCCAACTCCAAGGGGCCATTAATTTCAGATCACCATAACCAGAGTTCATTATACGCATTTCAACTATAATACTACAGCAAGTGTCCGAGACAAAATATAACATTGCGTTATATCCAGCAGATGTTGTAAACATGTTTGCTATATGTGTAGTTTACTGTAATATGAAACATTTGGATATTCTTAAGTTCCTTTGAGTAGTATATATTATTCCACATTGCTTCCTGCTTCACACACATTGTGTTGTATATTTGTAGTGATATATATGTATAGATATATATTGGCACTAGTATAGCTGTAGCTTGTCTAAGCATCTTCTTTAAGTAGTTTTACCCGACTCATATTAATTCAGTAGAAATATATACTGCTGGAAAGGAAGAAGGAATCGTAAAATTCCATATGCTCATGGACAATAACCAAAGAATGTTTGACGATGTCATCATAACCCATAGATGAAACATTGTCAAGTGAAATTCTTTGAATGGCATTTAAAAGTGATACACATAAAAGGTGCAAATTTATGAATGTCAACCTCTTTATTATGAGGAACACAACGTTTCGGAGTATATCCTTACTCCTTCATCAGGTGAATGCAGTTATGAAGGAGTAAGGATATACTCTGAAATGTTGTACTCCTCATGGAAAAAGAAGTTGATATCCATAAATACTCACCTTTCATTTTGTACCCTAAAATTGTTTATGTTCAAATGAAGCATTTTCATTGATGGCATCAAGAACCCTTGTTCAGCTGTGTGCCTTTTAGCTTCCGGCAGTGTACAATATTCATTATTGTAGAACTTCTTAATTGCAGATTCAGGCTTGAAAATTAAGTTTTTTCTGATCACTGTTATTTGCACCTTCAGTATGTTGAATAAGTCTGTAACCATGGTAACTGATTTGTTATATTTGTTTGACAAATGCTTTGTGGTATCATTTAATGTTGTAACTCCCAACAACGATGTGCAATTTAAGCTGGTTTGATACTGCTTCAGTTTGTATTGATGAATGTCATATCTGATTTGCACAGTTTGTTTTTGTGTATTTTTAGAAAAAGATATATTTATATATTTGCCAGCTTTCACTGACTTTAGTTTTGAATAATTATAAAAAAAAATTCATTTGCAGTTTTATGTGTAATTTTGTCAATATTATTTATTTTGCCATTATTTCCACCATAGCACGCTAACCTCACTCACCATTCTTTCATATCTCTGTCGTCAAATACTGAACTGGAGTGTTAAATACTTTCTATTATGACACGGATTCAGAATTAAATATGTTTTTATGCTATTTTCATTGTGTACACATTTGAGAAAACAATAACCATGCATGTCCTTTTGAGAATCAAAGATTCAGTAATGCACTGGAGACTTCTATAGTTCATAGAAATTAGATTTAATAGATTTCAAGAGACAAGTTCATGGTAGTCCCTATACATTTTTAACATAACCTGATCATGAGATTTTCTTTCCTATGTGCTGATAAGAAAAGACAGATAGAGGGTGTCATATGATGTTGGCCCCAAAATATATATGTTTCTGTAAAAATGTCAACATCGATCGATCAAAAATTCTTTTTATCAATACAGAAAATTGGCCTTGGTCATATGTGATGTGATACATATGCAATAGTCATAAAAATAATCTAGTGGTGTTTAAGTTCTTTTGCTAAAAGCATCACAAATACCAGAAAGGTTTGATGACGAAGTAGTGAAAGTTTGGTGTGTGAGATGTATCAGCAGCACCGTCTTTGAGCATGCACATTTGATCCTTTCACCCAGCCACCCCTCGGGATCTCAAGTTCAACCCTGTAGTCGGTTCTCCATCAGTTGTATACCAGACTGACTTTCGCTACAAAGGCTATCCAGGACACAGCTTTCTAAGCCCTAGAATCCCTGTCATTCACTCGCTAGAAGCAGCAAAACGAGCAGAACAAAAATACGCTGATCACTACGGGAAACAGTCATTATTTGACCCAGGTAAGGGAAGAGTTGTCTCCCTGTTTTCTTGCAAGGTCAAGGTTTAGAAACTTAAATCAACGGTAATGAAAAACAATTTTTTAATATATTTGAGATAGTTCATAATTAATTAAATTGACAGTGACATGATAGATGTAGATCGCCTTTCTGTGTGATAATAATATTGGATACAATGTTATTAACAGTCTTGTACATAAAAGAGAAATAATACCTTGTAATAAGCAGCCATTAATCTTAGATTGAGTGCCTAAAGAAATTAATGAAATCAGGAATCTTGCAATTATCTTCCTTTACTGAATGTTTTTCTTATTGTCTGTAGTTTTTTTTCATGTTTGTTTATGTTTATTTTAATTTTGTTGGTTTGATTTTCTATGCTTCTGCTTATGTTCTGTTATTTTTATGCTTCTTCAGTTTTCATTGTGTGTTGAACCTTTTAGTTTGAATGATTTTGCCAATATTTGAGTTTGAATCTTTCATCAACATCTGAGTTTGAACGTTTTGCCAACTTTTGATTTTGAGCTTGAATTTTTTTCTCAACATCTGAGTTTTAGTAAAATTTTAAGTTTTAAGAGTTTAACAGAACTTTTAGCAATATTCCACAATATCTCATCAGAAACACCATCTTCCTATATTTATCCCATGATCGGAATAAAACCCTGGAAGCCTGCAACAACCGCCAGTCTAGATGTCTTGATAAGTGGGACAATGGTTCCCATATTCAGCTGACAAACCAAGTATACACAACCTTTCTACCTACACCTGTTGAGAACTGAAACCAAACAAACACTGGCTTGCTGACTTAGTCATTGTCCAGGCTGACATTACACTGTGTACGTAGCGTTAACCTACCACTACTCTTACTCCATACACAGATATCATTGGAAATATGTAATCGGCTTACAGTTGTTATGAGAAAGTCAGACTTTCTGGGTATTGTTAGATGGTAAACACATGGATAAAGGTGGGATTTGGTGAGCCCCCCTGACGGAGGATTTATGTCAGGTGAAGTCCGATGTATAGAGGGGATTGGGAGAGTGTAATGGACTGGGTATTAGGTTCTGTTGATACTGCTATGAACACTGGTTCCGCCTGATTGTACTCTCGTTCTGCTTCACTTGCAATGTATTGATGAAATCTGCCGCACTCTACGGATTTCTTGTGTGGCTTGAACTCACTCTATTTCATTTATACAATGTTGATGTTAGGCCAGCACAACCTTATTTTGTGTTTTGCAGATTTTTACATATTATCGGATTATAATTGTTTTTTGTATGGCAGTGTCAACTCTTGTTATAATGGGGTGTTTTGCATCACTCAGGTATTGTAAATACTTACTTGCTGGCCTGTGGTTAAGATAATGTTGTTTTCAAAGCTTGTGGACATTTTTACAGTTTTTCAGGAATTTTCATAAGCATTGGAAAACCCATAACACTAAGATATATAAGACTAGGTAAATGAAAAAAAGAAAAACTTTAAACAGCTTTCTTTATATTTATACAGAAAAATAATTTGTCAGACATAAACAGTGTAAACTTAATATCATGATGATATATATTTTGGTATGCTTGTTACCATGGAAATGAAGATTATTTATCTTTTCATCTTTAATCTTTACAGAATGTTTAAAACTGCATTAAAAGCAATATTATAAGGAAGTAGTCTGAAATTTGTGATATAAATGCTCATTTGATAGTCCACTTAATCAGATCTCTTAGTGTTTAAATTCAAATATCTGACAGTTACCAGGAAAATTTGATTACAAATGTAAAATGTATAAACATATGGCATACTGATAATCTCTCAGTTTTTCCGTCATATAAAGCTGTGCCAAGTCGCATGCCCTAGGCCTGATACCACTGGCTCTAGCCCCACATCATGCTTACATATATCACTCACTCACTCACTCACTCACTCACTCACTCACTCACTCACTCACTCACTCACTCACTCTCACTCACTCACTCACTCACTCACTCACTCACTCACTCACTCACTCACTCACTCACTCACTCACTCACTCACTCACTCACTCACTCACTCACTCACTCCACTGTTCTTTATTAAAACAAATAAAATTCTTCTGAAATGTTGCCAATAACTGCAGGCGCTGTGCAGTCTCAGGTACAGAGGCATAACAACCAAAAATAATGCACAAATGGCAAAGTTTGTAAAATAAGTTTTAAATCACAGTACACTGACTGTCAGATTGATCTTGAAAACTTTCCTGACTCATTTATCTATCCTACAATCAATCATACTATTCATGTGCTAAGCCAATTTGTTAATTTTGGCATCAAAATGCAATAAATACGCAGGTGAGGTCACCTGTCATTTGATTACCTTTTACATACTGTTTTCACTCCATGAATTAATCAATGGGTAACGGTTGCCATGACAAGTAATTTTGTGATGAATAAATGTTACTGTGGAAAAAGCCTTGTTGTTATCATCATGTTAGTTGCGACATCACGTTACGTTGCCTCTTTTAGAAGCTAAGTAAATACATAAACCAACAGCAACGACACATTCTTTATATAAACTGAATAAATGAAGGACATTTGAAATATTTTTCAAATCTATCACAAATGATTGTATGTTAAGTAAATATATTTTCCTGGTTTCATATAATTCAGTATTTCTATTTATTTTTTCTAAACTGTTTTTGTGATGCTTGAGGGTTCACCAGGTGCATCATTTATCATACACAATAATTGATTCCTGAAAAGAAAACATACCCCAAATGTTTAAAAAAGCCATTCGTGGAATATCCAAATATTTTTGACACAAAGTCTCATCTTGTCACGTAGGGCATGTTTTCTTTGCCATTCAAACATTAATTGCATGCAAAATTGAAACCTGAACTACAAAATAAACAATGAACGAGGATACATTGATTTATTGGCATGAAAATTGTTTCTGTTCTGTCAATAATCCAATAAGTTTCCAAACAGGAATAAAATCTGAAGACCTTGACAGTGCTTTTACAAGAATTGTTTGTTTGGCCTCTCCAAGATGGCTGATGTACACCAACACAAAAGAAGTAACTGAAGGACATTTATTGTTATTGCTGTGTTCCCTCCCACGACGGGAAATAAAATTCAGCAAGGGAACATTGATGATGGTCAATCAATCGGACTTTGTTAATTGCTTGGATACTATTGTCCAGAAGATAAACTTTATTGCTCTGGTACATTAACATAAACGGTGGGGAAGCAAGTGTGACCAGTGGCACAATGGCGTCAGTTGCTAACTAACAGCTAACACATCTACCTATAGAACACTTACATTAGTCTCGCACTATTACCTGGCTGTCTTCTCTCCTGGGAAAGGTTGCATGGGTTGGTCTGGTTGTCCAGTCCATTATTAACGAGAATAATGTCTGTTAAATCAAGCATTTAATTCTGCATCTCCACACTGCTCCAACCATAGACGTTTGTTGTCAGGGTCAGTTTGACATAGGTAAAATTACATTTCAAACTTACATGCTGTTTTTCACATTAAAAACACTTGTTTCTTCTCAAAGGAAACTGAAAGGTATAAAGGGCTGAGCAAAACAGTTATGTACCGTACCAAAAATTGAACATTTTCTGGATATTTTTTGTAGTAAAAAATGAGCACAAAATTTCATGAAAATATCCCCCACATATTCGTGTTCCCTAACGTTTTTTCGTTAAGTATAATATATACCCTGCCATTATAAGCATCCATTGACCAGTCTCCAAATCAACCTGAGGATATTCTGCGCTTTCCCTCCCCTAATGTAAAATGGCTGGTCTGGGAGTAATACTGGTTTCTTTCCACAAGAGCAGTATACAAGAGTGATATAATTGCTTTTAACTATTTTCCAATAAGTTTGAGCTTCATCAAGTTTTGTACTAAGTGAATTCGCTGCAGTAAATTCTCATATGTAACTCATATTTGGTTCTAGAAAGTACCCCTGGGTACTTATTATTACAAATACTGTACGTATATTATATATTACAAGTGCCAGGATTGTATTGTACGTATATTATATATTACAAGTGCCAGGATTGTATTGTACGTATATTATATATTACAAGTGCCAGGATTGTATTGTACGTATATTATATATTACAAGTGCCAGGATTGTATTGTACGTATATTATATATTACAAGTGTCACCTGCGAGGATTGTGTTTGATATTGACAGACTGAATGGTCTTGTATGCCATGACCCTGAAGATCAAGGGGTGTATACGTACATTCAGCACGACAATATTGTACACTCAAGTAGTGAAACATTTTACATTGTGAGTCTGGTTGTTACATGTCTTATTCATCCTGATTATATATGTGTGACACTTGACTGCCTTTCCACTTAGATTTGGGTAACATGAGTGCAAACAGTTTCAGTATGAGCAATAAATGTTGTAATGATATCCAAATAGGCCAGTCTCAGACTTGAATATCAGAAAATGGACAATCAGATCTAGATCTATTAATGTGGAAAGATATAAAAATTCACTAGTATCATACACTGAGTGAGTGAGTTTAGTTTTATGCCGCGTTTAGCAATATTCCAGCAATATCACAGCAGGGGATGCCAGAAATGGGCTTCACACATCGTACCCATGTGGGGAATCAAACCTGTGTCTTACGGCGTGACGAGCGAACGCTTTAACCACTAGGCTACCCCACCGCCCCTGTATTGTACAGCTGTCTATGTCAGATTTATGTAGGTGTGTTACTTGATGCCTGATATAACAGCTGGACTTCTGCTCATTCCTTAATGTGCATTGCTGTCTGATTGGTTCACATTAATATGTAATTCTAAGGGTGCCTACTACCTTTCAGTATGTCAGTTGCCAACATCTGTTAAGTGATATTTCAGATGCCATTGTAAGTGCAGTACGGTGGATGCCATGCAATATTTACCAGCAGGGGCTACTCAGCTGTGAAGTGAGTGAGTGAGTGTGTAGGTGAGTGAGTGAGTATGTAGATTAGTGAATGTGTAGGTGAGTGAGTGAGTGATTAGGTGAGTGAGTGAATATGTAGATTAGTGATGTGTGTAGGTGAGTGAGTATGTAGGTGAGTGAGTGGAGGTTGTGAGTGAGTGAGTAGGTGACTGAATGAGTGTGTAGGTGGAGTGTAGGTGAGTGAGTGAGAGGTGAGTGTGTAGGTGAGTGAGTGTGTAGGTGAGTGAGTGAGCATGTAGATTAGTGTGAGTGAGTGAGTTTTATGAGTGAGCGTGTACACTGAGTGAGTGAGTGTGTAGGTGAGTGAGGAGTGAGTTCTCATGTTGTGACATAAGTCAAAGACAAAGAATGATTAATCTGATGACTAAAGGTCGGGGCACACTACTTTTCTACAATTAGGCAAAAACTTAAATCGATAGATATGATCAAATGCATGAAATTTTGTTCTGTAATGATTAAAACATAATGTGAAGTGATGATTTGGACTGAACAAATATTCAGCAGGCTGATGGTGTTAGTGAGTTTTACACCGCTTTTAGCAATATTCCAGCAATATTACACCGTGAACACCAAATGAGCTTCATGCATTGATTCCCACATGGGTATAGTGTGTGAAGCTCATTTCTGGTGTTGCCCGCCCTGATATTGCTGGAATATTGCTAAAAGTGGAGTAAAACTGATGATACTCACTCACTCACTCACTCATGCTGATGGAATGGGTTTCAAGACAATATGATTCTTAAAAAGAAAACAAATTATACTAAATACATTATAATGAACAGATTTCCAGTTTGTGAAATTAAATACCATTCCAATATTAGTTTACAACATTAAAAGACCAGAATGTCAAATGCTTGTCATTCGTAGTAGAACTGAAGGCGAGGCATTTAAAGATCAATCATACCTGCTCATTTAAATTTATTCTCAGCATCCCCAACACAATGCTAATTCATAAATTATGTATCTTATTGATCAGTGATATGAATATATATCAGCCAATATCTCCAGGTTAATTGAGACAAAACTTGACAACAGGGTTAAGATCTTTAGACCCAATAATTCCTCAACACGCTGGACAAAGTACACTAATACTGTGATATACTATACGAGAAATAACATAGGTGGTGCATTAGGATTTCATGGTTGAATGGTTGAATATTATACCCACCAGATCAGTTGTAATCAACCTGGCATGTACAGGTTGACCTCTACAACGATGATTGTTGTTGGAAACCAGACTGTCATTGTCTCACTGTGACATTGTGAATGGGAGCACTGGGACTTACAAACACAGAGAGCTTCCGTGTGGGGGATATTTCAGCCTGATACCATGCCGCCAGGTACAGATAGTGCTGTTTGTAGTATGTAATTCTACACTAATTGTTGGTACCTGGCCAGGTGAAGGAGGGTATTACGGTATATTTCTTTGGCATGTTTTTGAATGACTTTTAAGTTGTTGGAACCAGATTTAAGGTAAGGTTACGAGAGTGTGATGTTATTTGGTCATGTAAGATATACATCTTAAGTGGATTTTTTTGTGTCTTTATGATAATATGTTCTTCCACAATGTTCATGGTCTTCTTTCATACACAACAAAGAATCTTTAGTTTCTACTTTCAAATTTCTACTGTCAAGACAGAAACTTCAAAATTAGAGTGATTAAGCAACAGTTACTTTTTCTGCAGAATATATACCGGTACTCATGCCAATAATGGTTGTCACCCCCTTCAATTTTTTATTTTGGAGAGGGTGTGTGGGGTGGGTGTGGGGGTTAGGATGGGGTTGCTTTTGGGGAGGGGGGTGACAACCATTATTGGCATGAGTATATATTGCTTCTGTCAAGGCATGATAGATCAGCCATAGAAGTAATGAAACAGTCAGATATTCTTTAACCTCTTTTGATTGGTATACTTATGAATTGCAGTTTGTTTATTATCCAGTGTTTAAAAAAGTTTTAAAGAAGTGCTTTATCAAGACTTAGACCTCTGTATGTATGATCTAAGTCTGGTTCAGCTGTTTAAATACCACTAATTATCTGCCAGCACAATAATTATTATGAGTATATCAATCTATCAGATAAAGATTTTCTAAAATAATTGTTTCTGTTTCACACAGAGAGAATGAAAAAAAGTGCCTGTTAGTTTGGAGTTATTTAATTTTTACTGATTTATATAAAGCAGGCATTAGTTCAGACTACAGCATCTCACCTCCCCTTTGATTCTGTCTGTAAATGCAGTAATATTCAAAGCTACATAATACTTAATTCACCATACCTCACTTCACACTCAGTTTCTCGTTGTCAGACTTCAAGTCTAGATTTCTTCAGAAATTTGATTCTCCTTTTCTTCAATATATTAGATATTTGAATAAATTAGACATGTGGAATTTCCTTGTTTCATTGCGTCTTTTCAGTCACAAGAAATGAAATGGTTTAGTGTTTCAGTCACTGGTGATGTTCCGTTGTTTTTTTTCACTTTGTTCTGTTTTTGTCACTGGTGATGTTCTGTTATTTGTCACTGGTGATGTTCTGTTATTTGTCACTAGTGATGTTCTGTTGTTATTTGTCACTAGTGATGTTCTGTTGTTATTTGTCACTGGTGATAATATATATACTTTGTGTTGTTAATCAAAAGTGATTATATTTTTTGTGTTAGCAGGAATTTGTATTCATTAAAACTGCTAACTTGAAATTTGTCCCTGAATGTCCAATGAATATGTCTACTTGTGCTCTTTCCATGTACAGTAAAGCCACGTCTGTACGAGGGTAACCGAGGCGTACAGTACGGCAGTCAACACTTACACACGCCCCCACCGGCTCCACAGCGAACATATATACCTCCTTCTGTGAGGGCGGTACCATTTGGAGAGAATAAAACGTAAGTACATATTTCTCACCCTTGCATGTTATCTTCTGTGAGTGACACATATTGACAGCATTTATTACAAATTTAGTTCCTGAGTGAGTGAGTTTGGTTCAGTGCCACACTGTTTTATTTTTATCAATGGTGCCACCTTGGTGTGGGAGGAGACTCCAGAGAGATGGAAGTCTTTGAGGTTTACCGCTTTGGTGAAACCCATGAGTGTGGACAAATCTAGAAATATAATTGAGACAAACTAGGATTTGAGCTCACAGTCATAGGTTCCTGGCATGCCAAGGGGATGTAACTCTGCACAATGTATTCTGGCACCTTAGACAACAAGGCCATCCATTTTCCCACGTTTGTTGTTTAACGCCACACAGAGTACTATTCCAGAAGACTGGTCCAGAAGACCCAGTGATTGTCTCAGATACACCTGTTTAATATTTGACAGTTATTTCATAATAGGAAACTTAAACTAGTTATCATTCTGATATAAATTGCCATTTTACATGTCTTAATGTTATGGACAGTATTTCAAATTACATGTCTCACATGTGAAAAATGGTGCCAAGATGAACATGTCTTTGAATAGCTTATCTGTACTGAGCGTCAAATTTGGTAATTGATGTTTGATTTTTCCATGTTCAGAAACTATTTTCCAAAAATATTAACAAGAAAGGTTTGCATTAATGCCTTTGCTCCCTGAAGTAACTTGTAAAGACATGTAAAAGGGAACAAACATCCTTCACGCATAGTGGCAAAAACATTCAAATTTTTACTGAAAAATATTATTAATATTGACAGCAATTACTACAAAGGTCAGACCTATTTAACTTCTTGTTATATAGCCCCCCAAAAGAATTCCAAAATAAAAAATAAAAAACAGATGTGCTTGAAAATCAATATGCTGACTTCTTTTGGCAAGTAATTCTTTTGAAGAATATTTTCAAGAAAACTAAACCATTCCTTTCATCTCTTCCCAAATAGATGACATTTTAAAAAATTACGTAGGTATTGCCTTGTAAAAAGTATAAGATTCATTTTTGTCCTGATTTATGCACCAAGTTGCATCCATTGTCTAACACAGTGTGTTGTTTTCTACACTTACACACAGGGAGTGGCAGCTAAACCCTAGGTAAAAATATACCCATGTTTGTTTGTCTCCCACCTCTGTTGCTTCCAGCCACAAGTCCTGTTTATGTACACAAAATCACATCTTCATTCTTGCAACCTATCCATTCATATTTGTTTTAATTGGGAAAATATTTTAATATGGGGATTATTCTTGGTTGCAATGAACTGGTACTGTTAGAACGATTAAGACAGTATAAAAAGTCATTTGATTATTTTATGTCTTGGTTTCAGTGTAACTGCCTTTTGAAGTTTTATTTTTTTATAAAGTTTTTAATTTTTATATGCACTAAGAAATATTTTAATTTTTATTTGTTCCTTGAAATGTGTTATGGCACATTATCTTTACATGAAAATGATCGGATGAAATTATGCAGCTGCAGCAAATAACAGAAGATGTTTTGAATTAATACTTACAACACAGTCAACCTATATATTTTTGTTTTCATTTGATTAAACACTGATATAGTGCATACTGATGCATAGATTCAATCATTTAATGGGACTGGGTTTTAGAAACACATACTAGAATAGTCTCATCATCATCTTAATTCTGCTTCTGAGACACTCCATTACTGCTGGAAGCACCTTAACACAAGTTTATGTTTTGTTCACATTGCATGGCATTGCATGTCTTCTTGCATACATTTTGTTCATTTTGTTCTTTAAATAGAACACAACATTTTTCATGCTTTATCCCCAAACCCTATTGATTTGCATATTTTCCAAATATTCACTGTTGCATCCATTGTTTTCTTTTACTTTCTGTATTTAATTTGTTTTTACATTATTTTTATATCATTGCATACCAGGTTTTGTATGATGTCATGTGATGTGAATATGTGACAGTCAACATTAAGTTTCTTTGTAATGGCAAAAAAGAGAGATAGTTCATCAACATTTTCTGAGGTTCAACTAGTTTACGTAAACCATTCCTCCCACCATGTGTGTTCCATTTTGATAAAAATCTTGGATAAAAAATAAATGCAATTCATGCTTTTATTCATAATTATTTAAGATAACTTAATTGATCAAACTTATTGTTTTGAGCAAATTTGCCATTGATAAATCTTGGAGTTTGTTTGCAACAAAGTTCCCATGATAATTCCATGGCAGAATTATACCCCATGCTTGTTTTAAAAGATGACAGAAGTATAGATCTGGATTTTTCAATTTTGTGCATGCCCTGTTGGAAGGAATGTTATCATACATCATGGTGAAGATCGTCATTCAAGATTTCAGTCACCAGTTTGTTTACTTACATTGATGGGGTTGGTGTTTAACGCCGCACTCAGCAATATCCCAGCTACATGGCGGTAGTCTATAAATAATTGAATCTGGACTAGACAATCCAGTGATCAGCAGCATGAGCATTGATCTATGCAACTGGGATGCGATGACATGTCAGCCAAGTCAGCAAGCCTGACCACCCGATCCCATTCAGCACCTTTTACAAGTATGGGTTGCTGAAGACCCAATTCTAACATGGATCTTCTTGGGTTTTGTTTGCTTACAGGTTATGGTGATATAATTCTAATATTGCTGACCATAGAATCACTCATCATTCACTCAATCACTTCCACTGCCATCTTTTAGTAGCTTCACAAATCAACATTTTAAAAAACCTGTTTAACATTAGAGAGTCCTTACTAATTGTTTCAGCTGCAGTTCATGATCAGGTGGAGGGTTTTGTGTGAGCCAGTTATTCAAATTATCCCATCCCTGTTTGTTTAATATCTATATATATGTTTGAAGTGTGTCAATAAGGCTTTTAAACAACCTTTTATAACTGAGAGATATTGACATACAGATCCTTTTGTTTTCCAGCCATTAAGTATCTAATGTATTTCCTGATAGTCAATAGTGCTTTTGATTATTGGGGGTGAATGGTACACATTGTTATTCTCTTTGTCTTTTGTACATTCAATTCATCAATGGCAAAATAATTTGCAAAATGATTTAAGCATCATTTTACTCCTTAATATATATGTCATAAATAAGATGGGTCGTAGTTAATTAATATGTACATATGGGGAACAGTCACTATTTGAAAATTGATGAATGAGAAATTATTACATGGTGTTATGTTAATTGCAGACCTTAAAATCATTATGTGTTGTTCTTATGTACTAAGTGTCATATGGTGCCGGAGAAAACAGATTCACAACCAGATAACTGTTTTCTTGATGGAGAAGATCCAGGCAGTAGATCACCTGAGTATGTGTGTCACAATTGGGACCTGGTGCAGTAAAACAGTGATGGTGTATGTGTGTTTTGTGTGTACATGTGTGTTGTCCTGAGTGTATAGATGTGTGTTGACAGGCAGGAGGAGATTGACAAACGCGTGTTCCTGCAGAAAGAGGTGGAGCAAGATATTCAGCGATACAAGGAAGAACAGGCTCGGAAAAAACATAGGGAAATGGATGAGAAGAAGAAGGTGAGATGGACAGACAGATGGGTTTATAGGCGACAGGTATACATACGGAGAGGTGATGGATGAAGGGATGATAGATGGATAAAGAGATATGGATGGATAGATTGGTTTCCAGATCGACAAATAGGTGAATAAAGAGATGATAGATGGGTTATGCACTGACAGATATATGGATGGAGAGGTGTTAGATGGATTATATATGGATTATATAGATAGAGATATGGATAGACATAGGATGGATTTATAGATGGGTTTGTAGATTATAGATAGGGATGAAGTGATAGGGATGGATGTGTTCATAGATGAAAGATAGGTCAAATGATGGATGCATGATGGAAATGTGGGTTTATAGATGGATACATAGGTTAGTTAGAGATGGGTGGATGGAAATGTGGGTTTATAGATGAATACATAGGTTAATGAGAGATGGGTGGATGGAAATGTGGGTTTATAGATGGATACATAGGTTAATGAGAGATGGGTGGATGGAAATGTGGGTTTATAGATGGATACATAGGTTAATGAGAGATGGGTGGATGGAAATGTGGGTTTATAGATTATAATGTTAGAGATGGGTGGATGGAAATGTGGGTTTATAGATGGATACATAGGTTAATGAGAGATGGGTGGATGGAAATGTGGGATGGTGGATGGAAATGTGGGTTTATAGATGGATACATAGGTTAATGAGAGATGGGTGGATGGATGGAAATGTGGGTTTATAGATGGATACATGGATGGGTGGATGGAAATGTGGGTTTATAGATGGATACATAGGTTAATGAGAGATGGGTGGATGGAAATGTGGGTTTATAGATGGATACATAGGTTAATGAGAGATGGGTGGATGGAAATGTGGGTTTATAGATGGATACATAGGTTAATGAGAGATGGGTGGATGGAAATGTGGGTTTATAGATGGATACATAGGTTAATGAAATGGGTGGATGGAAATCTGTGGATGGATGTGGGTTTAGGTAGTTAGAGATGGATGGAGGTACTGTGGATGGATAGATAGGTTGATGAGGTGGTAATGGACACTAATGAGGTAATCCACCATCCTGTTGGTTGCAGTAGGTAGTTGGAGGTGAGTGTTTTTACATTGATGAATAGCTGATGCGTATTTGTGTACATGTTATAGAGGTCAATATGTTATAAAACGATTATGGGTAGATGGATATATAGATTTACACCCCGGTAGGTACAGGTATATGGATTGAGGGATGGATGTTAATAAGGCTGCTAGTTGAATAAGCACATTTATATTGATGGAAGTCAGTGTGTCGATGATGTATATAGGATCAATAAATGGACAGTGAATAGAAGGATGTATGGATGAAGAATATAAACATGAAATATAATAAACAAAGGAAATAGCTATCATATATATGAGGTGACTGAATAGCTAATGAATATATGGTGTATTTATGTGTAAATTGACGGATGGTAGGCTCTGAGTAAATACATTGTAGACAAGGGAGTAGATGGATGAGTTAACTGATAAATAGATAGATGAATAAATATACTTATTGATAGATGGGTGAGTGAGTAGATAAGCGAATCGATGAAAGATTCAATAGACAAATGGATAGATATTTGAGTAAATAGACAAATGAATAGATGGATGTGTAAATGTATACATAAATAGAAAGATGAGTAATGAACATACTGATGTACGGTTGAATGAATAGATGAATGAGTTAACAAATGAATAGATAGATGAATAAATATATTTATTGATAGATGGGTGAGTGAATAGATAAATGAATCGATGAAAGATTCAATAGACAGATGAATAGATGGATGAGTAAGTAGAAAAATAAATAGATGCATGAATGAAAAAGTGAATGTATGGATGTGTGAATAGACCTGTGGATGTGTTAATGGATAGATGCGTTAATGGATAGATGTTGAATGATGAACACTTGATAAGTGCTTGTATGAACGGATAGTAGGATGAATAGATGGAAATAAATGGTTGATGTAAAAAGGTGAGTAAATGCTGATGTATGTCCAAGATGGAGTGTTTACTAAAGATGGTCCAACGTTGTTCTCTGTATGTAGTCTCACAGAATGTACACTGTATATAATCTCACTGTGATGTACTCTTATTTTCTGAATGTTCACTGAAAATTTGATACCTTGCAGTATGTTCACTGAATATAGTTTCACAGATTTTTCATTGCCTCACTCACGCTTATCGCTCACTTTCTTATAGGACTTGGACCGCCTAAGGAACAACTTCATGTTAGATGCACATAAATATGGTCATGGTGCTTCAAAGGTAAGCCTTAAAAACAACTTCATGTCAGACACACATAAATATGGCCATGGTGCTTTGAAGGTAAGCCTAATAAACCTCTTTCTGTTAGATGCACATAAATATGGCCATGGTGTTCAAAGGTAAGCCGTAAAAATGTCTTTATGTTAGACGCACATAAATGGTCAATGTACTTCTGAAGCATTAGTAGATAAAAGCAACTTATGCCAAAGGCACGTCGTGTGCACACACACACACACACACACACACACACACATTGCCATGGTGCTTCCAAGGTAAGCCTACATAATAATCTAATGCTAGATTCACAAGCAAAGAGCTTCCAAGATAAGCCTGAAGAACAACTCAAGGTAACAACTCTCAAGAAACTGAAGAACAATTATAATTGTTTAAGGACCAGCAAGAGTTATTCCCCATGATTGTGACTCTTATCAAGGTCGTCTGAGGTTGAACATTTGCAGCTATTAACAATGACAAGTAAGAATTATGCCCCATGACTGTGACTCTGTCAAGGCCTTGGATGTAGCAAATATGACTATTAACAACAATAGTGCCAACTCTTGATATATGAATGCATCAATATGCACGTTGTCATGCACTGCACATTATGGGATATATATTTGTATACCATAAGTATTCATAGGATACTTTAGGATTCATGTTTCATGAAAAAGGTTGTGAGCAATCAATATGTGTTTTATTTGATCCACTTTTTAAGTGACATACTTAGATAGTACAGAAGGTGTCGAGGTATAGAATTCTGAGATCAGTGTGCACCAGGCAGTGCAGTTTGGCTCTGGAGAGTTGTGTCCCTAGGCATTCCAGATGATCCTGTGATTATGGGTTTAAATCTCCCGTTAGTCCTGATGATGATTCAAGGTTTCTCATCTCCATATATGTGCATCAAAGATAAGACCATCCAAAATCTGCATCACACAGGGATTTCCTACCAGTCACACAGACTGACTGTACTGTACTGTCCAAAGTACAATTTGTCACTCGGACACAATTTATTAGTTAGTGGTTCGCCAAGTTTGACCCAAAATTGCAGGTTGATTTGTCATAAATACTAGTATATAAAAATTCACATTTCAAATATTCTATATTATATTTCCTCAAAATACTTTGTAGATATGAGAAAAAGTCGGGACAAGATGAATTTAGGAAAGAAAAAAGCTTTATAATAAAGTTTCAGCGGGATTTGTAGCGTGTTAAGTATTTGTTTGCAATAAGCAATTGTAGATGAGAGCTTTTAAAAAATGTTTGACATATTTCTGTTTTGTGAAGTAAAAAGTTATTTTTGTTGTTTATGTCACATTTTTTCTAGTTTACGTCATAAACCAAGTTTTTGATATATCCCTGTCCTTAATTGTGTATACTGATGTCTCAATGTTGATGCAGGGGGATGGCGATCACAAGAGGAGGAAATTCCAGGAGGAGGAGTTATCTCCCCGTGCAAACCCTCGCTACAGAGACCCAAAGGTCAGTAGCTTTGCCTGAACAATGCTGTCACATTGTCACATTGTAATGTGTAGATGAGAGAATATTCATGCAACATTACCCATGTGAAGATTGAAATTAGAATTGTGTTCAACAACTCTGATGCTTATCGTAATCGGTGATCAGACTGACTTGATAGATATATGCCTTTGTGTACTATGCAGTTGCTGATTGATGCTCATGATGTCAGTCACTGGATTGTTCTGTCCAGACTTGATCATAAGAATTTACTGGTCACACTCTTATAGCTGAAATATCCATTAAGATTGGGGTTAGAATTGGTCTTCAGCAGCCCATGCTTTTCATGAGGCGACTAACAGTATTAACTGGTGGTCAGGCCAATTTCGTAGATCAATACTCATGCTGTTGATCACTGGATTGTCTGGTTCAGACTCAATTATTTACAGACCACCGCCATATAGCTGGAATTTTGCTGAGTGCGGCGTTAAACAACAAACAAACAAATTATAGCTGAAATACTGCTGACTGCAGAGTTACCGAACCCAGAAAACACCACACAACACTGATATTCTGGGTCATTTTTTACAAACATACTGAATAATACCCAGTAATGAGTATTCATGATCCAGACTAATGATCTGAAAGAAAGTTTAACATCCAACTGAGGGAAATCAGTGGTACCTAATTCATGCCCAGTTTGATTGAATATATGATCAGGTAACTTACCACTGAAGGATTGGTCATTTCTCATGGGAGTTGCAAGGTGAATGGGATTGACATGTTTATTTTGTTTTCATCACAACTCCCCACCCTCCCCACAACTACATGATACCATTTTGCCCTTGCTCTATAACAACTGACCTGTCTCTCCATAGGGGATTTAATATTTAGCTGGTTAAGATCCTTGGTCCTAGATTTTTGAAGCTCTCCATAGAGATTTAAGCAATATGTTAGCTAAGTTGATCCTTGTTAGATATTGAAGCTCTCTTAAGCTACTTACGATCAAGTTAATGCTATTGTATGGCACTTACAATCATCTTAAAACTTAGAGAGCTTAACAAATCTAGGTCCTGTTTCATAAAATAATATTTAAGGATACCACATTTGATGAATGTGTACTAGCTCTGTTTAAAATTATATATATTTTTTTCTATATTCATATGTAGTATGGTAATCCTAACAGACAGCTAAAACAACCACTAGACCTGCCTGGAGAAGAGGTATTTAAGATTGTATCATGTCAACTGTGCACGTGATCTGTGACCTTGACCCTATCCTTTGACCTTGTATTAACGGGCACACTTTTGCTGATGTGGTGTGTCTTCCTCTTGTCTTTATTTAACAGTATTGAGCCTAGAGTGTATTTCTACCGAAAAAATCTTTGTGTGAAGAGTTCCTTTTTTGTGATGACCTGCATCTGTTCTTTTATTTCATTACTGATAATCTGTGGGTTAATTACTGATAATCAGTGGGTTCAGTATCAATAATCTGGGTTCATTACTGATAATATGTGGGTTCATTATCAATAATCTGTGGGTTCATTACCGATAATCTCTAGGTTCATCTGCAGTTCTTTTGCTTCAAATTTTGACACTCTGCTTCCATGTGTGAAAAACACCTTCATGATTATTCTTCATATGAGTCAGTGATATGAGTCATCTCTACAAAATGTTTCCACTGTTTGGGTGTCCTCAGATTATATCAGCGTTATGAGATGAAAGATCACATAGTAGGAAAGTTGGATAGGTTCATTTTCTTGTTTTAGGTGCAAGCCCAAAACAAATTTAGAGACATGAAAGAAAAATAGATATTTAAGTTGATTTGGAAATATTTGAAATTGGCCATAATTTGCCAACTTTCTGTAAATATTTGAGCAACATTTTTAGCAATTAATCTTGAATCAAACCCAGGGATTATATATTCATGATACTAAGTTGCTTGCTGCCTGTTGGAACTTTGACAAGAAGTAGTATAACAAAACAAGATAGAACATAGAAAAATCAAGTGCCTGGGGTAGATTGGTAATGCCTATATAAATAAATACCTGAAGTAATGTCATCTGTTTCCTTCTGTGGTAATTTCCTGCATGTTATTGAATATAATGATATCAAGTTCAGGTTATATACAGAGACACTTTCATCTGATCCTGACCCATCCAGTGCAAACCACATATATCATATTCTATGTAAGGGTAGCAGTTTATATCTCATATATACTAAACTGTGAATGAATACATCCAAGGATCCCAAGACCTGAGGTGAAGGATGACTGTATTCTGTAAACATGAACAGGGAAAAATGACCTCCATTTCAGTTGCTCAAGAAAGTTAATTAGGCTTTCTATTTCTGAAAATGAGATTGTTTTTTCAAGACCATACACCATGACATTACATTTTTTATTGACTTTGGTTTATTTTAACATGTAAGAATTGTTTTGAATAGTTTTTGGAATTAATTATTTTGGATTTCCTCAAAACTATTTTTGAATTGGGGAAGAGAGAAGACAATTCCATATGACTTAAACTAGTGTATACTTGTTTAGTGTGTTTGTATTATTAGAATGATTCCATTTTATGCATAGAAAATTCTGTGACCTTGACCTTGACCCTGACCTTTAACCTTTCCTTGTATTGGAAGGGCACACTTTTGTTGCAACCCTGCTTACTGCTGGTTTTGTGTGACCTTCACCTACACTCTTCACCCTTGCACAGCACTTACTACAAGCTGACAGACAAATCAAATAATTTCGTGAGCTAAAAATTTATTTCCTTGCCTGGGTCCCAATCAACACTTAAAGTCATAGCTCTGATAGGTGTAAATATAAATAACAACACCTTTCCACAGGAATGAACAATTTCTGCTGTAATATTAACATCATAAATTTAAAACATTGTGATTTCACTGCAAACGATTTTGAAAATGTTGGCATCTCTTTTTTTTGTAACAAACAATGTTGAAGACATTAGAATTGAGAGAAATTTTAAAAATTTCCCATCAGATTTTAATGAAATACACTCTAAAAAAAGATGAATGCCATTCTCACATCTTGCCAGTGAGACAAAAGCCCTGAGACACCATAGCATCCAGGTTTAAAATATATTAAACTATCATAAAACAACACATTTAAACTGCAGCAAATTGTTTTATTTTTTTATAATGGTAAGTTTAGAATCAAGGATATAAAGTTTTACAGGGACCCTTTCAGTGCTAGGGTCAGGGATTCCTGCAACAGAGCTCTGTGGAATTGGTTAACTTAGCATTAGAATCCAACCACTAAATATATTTGTTCCAAGGAGTAGTCTAAATGTTGCTTGTCCACTGATCAGATGAGTATTTTGTCTGACAGAAACCTATGGATCGCTGGACCTTGGAAGGGGAGGTACATCAGATGACTGTCACATGACTATCACATGACAGTCACATGACATAGGTTTCATTTCTGTCTGCAGTCTTCTGCGCACTGTTTTTTTCTCATAGCCTGCTTTATTACATATATTAGATTTCAATAATGATAACAATATTCTAATCCTTACTTTTCTTTTTGATCATGTTGATGACAGAGACAAACACGTTTTGGTATGAAATGTCAGATTGATAAGTTTACTTGTTTTGAAACCTGAAAGTAACAGCTAGTACACTGATATACCGAGTAACATTTAACATATACTTGTAAAAAAATGTAAAAAAATAATATCAAGAAAAATGTTCCATCTGTTTGTCAAGTAAATCTAAAACTGTGCAGATGCAAGGCTGTTGGTGTCATGCTCTCTGTTGCAGAGCTTGGTGTTTTGGGTTCTGGCTTTCTGCTTTTGTGTTCATTTTTAAAAAAACATCACACATCTGTATAGAAACTTGCGTATCATGTTCAGATAAGGGTTTCTAAACAGAGGCAAACATCTTTAAGTTTTAGTACTTTTTGCCATGTTTTTTAAAGCTCTGAATCAGTTTCTGAACGCTTTCTATACTGCCAACTAGACTGGGGTTGTACTTAGAAATCTTTGTGAAATAGGATCAACTCAAAAGGGACAGGTTTTGGAGCTTGAATGTCAGCTATGGTTCCTTTTCAGGAATTTGTTTTTAAGTATTAAACTGACTCAGTAACATTTCTTGTGAATGAATTATAGGCTAGTTCTTAAAATTTGATGCTCTGCATTTAATGATTAGTTTTTAAGATAAACTGAAATTGCGGTATATGCATTAAAATAGTGTATTCCTACTTACCATGTTAAACTTTAGTTATACTTTAAAAAATATGTTTATTTTAACTCACTGTATTAGCTACTCAGATGGGAAAATTCTGTCATCTTTGAAGTGTCTCTTCACTGTGTTTGATAATAATGTAATTTGTCGTACTAATATCTGGATGACATGATGACATTGTTATTCTGAAAACATCACAACTAATTATTTCTCCATCTTAAATAATCTTTCTTTTCTCATCTGTAAATGTTTGGTAATGTTTGTTTTGCCAGTTCTGTAAGCTGTGGAGGTCTTGCAGTATAGCGTTATGATTAAGCCCCAAGGGGGTCAACATCCGAATAGGTCCCTAGTATTCTGTGTTTGTAGGAAAAAGACAAATTTTGCTGATGTCAGGAATAGAATTTTGGTCTTCGAGAGGAGTTAAAGGTGGTATAGTAAATATTGCAGAAAAGATGATAACCATTGGACCAAGTTTGATGCCAATAGTTGTGCCTGTAAGTGCATGACTTGTTATCTTGACAGCATTGATCGGTGTTCCTACTAGTGGTGGTCCGATTAATTGAAATAATCGAAGATTGGTCCCAGTGACTAAACGACCAAGCAATCGATCATGTTTTCTCATAATCGAACACAAACAATTCTTGAACACTTATTTTCATTAACAGTATTTTCACTAGGTTGGTTTTGTCTGTTACATTTCATAAGCACTACAAGCTTGTTCCAAGTCATGATTGAATTTATCTTAAAGACTTTAAGAAATTTATGTTCCTCCATACTAGTCATCCTTTAAAGATGTGAAATTTTGTCAAAAAAACCCCAAAGAACTACATGTTTTTTTCCCTATTTTTGTGTGCATTAACACATTTCATAAATGACGCTAACTAATTATTTTCGATGATTGATCGGTTGTAATGAACCAATCATCAATTATGAGATTTTAACCAATTCCCAACACTAGTTCCTACTAGGGTGGAACCTCAGTGGTTGGAGCTTACTTCACAGTTGCTGTGATGTGTTTGAATTACAACCTCATTCCTTACTGGTGCTCTAATTTAGAACTCTGATTCACATTCTTCATAGACACCATTCCATACTGTGACAATAATTATCTTTGGTCTCTGAGTGGTACCTCTTCCTAACAACCTCTGTCTTTACAGTATATTGTCTGATTTGAAATACATATGTCCAAGGACCTTCTTTCAGTGAACATATCACACGTGTGTAATACAATATTTTTTCAAATTCAGTATAATTTGAATGTAATGTATATGATTTGAGGTATATTTGATCTAATAAAATTGATTTCATGCAATTTTGTACATGAATTTGATGTCAATGTTTTATGGTTTTAAGGCATAAAATCTTTTTCAACAGTTTATTGAGGGTTAATTCTGTCAATCTGACAGCATATTCTGCTTGAACAAATATTAACCTAGTGCATGCGTGAGTGCATCCATGTTATGCATTATCAGTATGCATCCTCAGTCCCAGTCTCTGCACTATGACTGTCACACGTGCATGTTTGAGTGCATTATAGGAGTAGCACAAACACTCTGTTCAGTGGTCCCATACATGGAAGTTTGTTGCGTGTTGTTCAGACCAAGCATCCAGACTTCTTCCTGAGCGAGCTGAGCAAGGAGCGTGCTGTGGAGCAGCCTGGCAACACGGACCACACCCTGCGGGGGGACGGCATCATCCGCTTCCAGGAGGAAGGTCGCAAGTCTATAGAGAACCGATTCGCTACAACAAGCCCCAGCAGGAGAAGGAGGAACTGCGGAGGGATCTAGGTACCAGTCTTCTTGCAGGAACTCTGGGACAGATGTACCATTAGTTTCAGAATGTTAGATCGTGGGTACAATGCAGCTGCTGCAGAATGGAGATAATGTATACAATGAATTACTTAAAGAATGACAAGCGAGCATATTTGCATTAATAATGATCAGGCATACAATGCATTACTTACAGAATGATGGTTGGGCATGCAAAGGATTACTGAGAGAATGATGATCAAGAATGCAATGCATTACTTAGAGAATGATCATTGAGCATGCAATGCTTTACTTACAGAATGACAAGCAAGCAAATGACAGATCAAAACATATGATTTCTTTCTTAAAAAATGCAGAAAGCTAAAACGAATCTTGAACGAATAAACTTCTAAAAATAATGTAATAATGAGCAGGTAACTATTAGGAGATAAACATCATGTGTTGGCCAATTTCGGGTGTTATTGTGTATTTGTAGCACGGGAATTTGGAACCGACAGCGTCAGCCGGAGGTTTCAAATGAAATATTCCTGTGCTTCAAATACTCAATAACACCCGGAAATTGGCCAACACATGATGTTTATCGACATTGTAAACACAAAAGTAAACCAAAAGGTCTACACACGTTTTTGTGTCTGCACTCATTGACATCGAGTACGGGTACAGCAGTGAAATGTCATCAGCCGGCCATTTTGGCTGTCTCCCATGGTACCATCTGGAACTGCTCACTTGTGACGTCGTTCAGACTTTACGTCACAATATGATTTGAATGACGTCATCACAGCTGACTACGTAACAATACAATGGTGTGAGCGATGTTTGAATGTATAAATACGCAGAGTTTCCGGGAATCGAATACCATTTGATCATGTTTTTCAACCAGTCAGATTAAAGAACACAGTGACTTTTGGTTTACAATGCATGTTATCCCAACTGTAGATTGCTCAATGAGTTATCAACCAAGTCTGCCTTTCATTTCAGTGATGTCCTTTTAATGTCTTTTTGTGATTGTGTCAACAACCAATCATGATAGTCATCGAATATAAGAGTTATGCACATATTTGACATTGAAACAGGTTGAGGATACTTTTGTTTCAGCTATCGAAACAAAAAGGTTCAAAGACATAGTACATGTATGTCAGATAAATGTACCTGGTAGTATTGTTTTCTTGCATTTATTGACCATAGTATCTGACTCTATGTATTATTTTCTCTCATTGTTCACATGACAATTAGACCCATGAAGATCGGGTTAGAATCGGTCTTCAGCAACCCATGATTGTCGTAAAAGACTAATAACGGGATTAGGTGATCAGACTCACTGACTTGGTTCACACAGTCATGTCATCGTATCCCAATTGCGTAATCAATGCTCATGATGTTGATCACTGGATTGTCTGGTTGAGACTTTATTATTTACAGAACGTCGCCATATAACTGGAATATTGCTGAGTGCAGTGTTAAAGAGCCAAACCAAACCCATGACAATTAACGCAGAACAGTCTCAGATGTGGTGGACTGAACATGCATTTTCAGTCACCTTCCCGATGTGGTGAACATGTTTGGTGAACTTGTGTTTTTGTAGAAAGATCGAGAAGCTTCAACTGCTGATAAGCTGAGAGATCTTTTGGAGATCGAGATGGTGAGTAATCAATAAATATCCCAATCAGGCGAGAGGCCTTATTTTAATAGTAAGTTGTCATCACAAACCGGCTGATATAGCTGAGAGATCTGCGATCACGGCTGATAGCCAGGAGATCGAGATGGAAAGTAATCAATAAATATCCCAATCATTTCTATGAAGCATTTCACTATAATTTAATAGTAAGTTGTAAAGGCACAAACTCATGCAATATAGCCAATTGAAAATCAGTACAAATTTTAATGATTTCTTCATGGATGTGGAAAGGGTTTTGTCACTGTTTTGTACTGTTGCTTCATACGACCTGTTATTAATATTGTGGCAGAGTTAAGAATGTTTTTGGATCAGGAACTGGTCAGGAAAGGCTTGAATTCCATCATCAATGCTTAATAGGTTTGTGTGTTCTATGTTCCTTCATCAACACTACTGTTTTTTGACCCATGAAGATCAAGGTTAGAATTATCTTCAGCAACCCATGCTTGATGTAAGTGGCATCTTACGGGAACGGGTGGTCATGTTCGCTGACTTGGTTGACACGTGTCATCGCATCCCAATTGCGTAGATCGATGCTCATGATGTTGATCACTGGACTGTCTGGTCCAGACGCGAGTATTTACAGACTGCCGTCATATAGTTGGAATATTGTTGAGGGCAGTGTTATACAACAAACCAACGCCTGTTTTTAAATGACAAAGCCATGTCCTGCCCGTGAGACTGGTGAGTGCTCTGATCAATGAAACTCAGATTGCATTGCACAAATGACACCAATTCCCATGCAGCCTTCATACAGCAACGGTCTCCATTGCTTCAGTACAAGCAGCAGTACGGCCCTAATGATCCTTGTTTCATTACATGACCCATGTGCCCACTGGCCCATTGAGCAGGGTGATAAAAGCTTTCATTATGGGTGGAATTTGTCACATTATATGTGGACTTATTACAGTATCTGTCAATACTGCTCCACATGTAATCACTAGGTCTGATAAATCCTATATGACGAATAGAACGAATATTGTGTATCAAATATGAATATTGTTTAACAAATACGAACATTGTTTAACAAAAACAAATATCGGGTAACAAATACAAATGTTGTGTAACAAATACAAATATTGGGTCACGAATGCAAACAAGTCAACACTTGATGTATTATTAAATATAAATATATGACAAAGTAATTATTTGACATGCTTGACCATGTTAATATTGTAAATTTATCATGACAGTGACTAGTGACCACATTATTGCCTTCGATATATTCTATTTTGCCTATCTTGTTTTGATAAATATCACCCAAATTCAAGTAAAAACGCTCCTTTCAAAAAGATCAAAAGTATTAATTCTAGAGATCATGAATAACGAATGGAATTCATGAAGGGATACAGTTTGATTCACTGAATTCAACCCGAGTGATTCATAGCAGCCCTAGTGATGGAGGAACATAGGGAATGAATTCTTGAAGTACTGATGACCCATGAGCAAGTTTTGAATGCATTTTGTATGACTGAAAGAAAAGTCTTTCACAATTCTTACATCAGTCGCTGACTTTTTCAGCGATGTTCATTGCCTGATTGATACTGATCACAATTGTTCTCATGAATTATACTCCATTTCTTAAAAATATCTGATTGCATATTTCAATAACATTATATGGATTACTTCAGTATTGTGTGTTGCCTCCTAATTACTCACCACAATTGTTCTGATGAACTGTTGTCAATCTCTGGAATATTTTATTGCTCATTTTATTAAAAACAAAATCTCAAATCATAACAGAAAATCTCTGTTTCAGCAGAGTATCATGTTTAGCCATTGTTAATGTCCTTCTAGTGTGTACAGACGCTATTAGATACCCAGGTCTTCTACAATCATTGATTTCTTCATTAGAAACTACTTAATGTGTTAAAATCTTTCAAAGAAGATACATTATTTATGAATCCTGTATTTTTTCAGTCATTGTGGTCATGAAACGTAATAAAAGTTCACTACATGCATGCAACACCTTATAGTTGGTGTTGATTGAAAATTTACATTAATTGTTCATTAACTGACAAGCATATTATTGGAGTCACTATTATGTCATGGTGACCAGGTGTTTTCTCTTTCAAATTTTTTTAAATCTGAAGACACGTAGATGAACAAGTATGGTCTTTACCCACCGGGCATAACTCTGATCTTGGTATTTAATCATTAACTGAAATGTTATATGCTGTCTTATCATATGCAGGGTACTTATAGAACCTGGGCAACACCTTTCACATGGTAGTTATTTTTATATTAGAGTTTTATTCCAATGGTGGAGGCAAGCTCTTCACAGAATAGCACTTCTGTGGAGCTCTCGTTATCATCGCTGGCACTAGTTACAGCTTCCTACAGTGCAAACCATGCATGAAGTTGAACTTGCTGACCATTATGTTTACAAATAAGATGTCCTTTTTCATGACAAATACTATTTACTTGAAAACTTTCTATCTTGGTCAATTTGAATTTCTATTTCACTCAATCTATGATGTTATTTGCATAGTAAGATTGTAAGGCGGAAGAGGATGCTTTTCTGTTTGTCTACAGTTTCAAACCAATCTTATTAAACAAATGTAAATTCATCTGAAAAATAATGTCTGTTTTAAACTTTTTTCAAACTTCACTTTAAAGGTATTCAAAAACATATACAGAAAAATATATATGTCACTACATTTGGGGTTAGAGGGCTCATTTCAAGATACTTAAAACTGGTGATTGCATGCTACTGGCAGCGATGATAAAGGAAGAGAAACAACGGAGTTATGCACTGGGAAGGAGCTTGTGGTGAAGGAAGCCAGGGGAGATAACTGTTTTTGCTAACTCTCTAGTTGAAGTCTTCCGACAACTATGGCAAGCCAGGTGCAGGTGCCCCTAACAAGTCATCATCAGGTGAAACCAGGGCCTGACCCTAACTAACAGCTGTAGAACGCTTATTTTCTGTATTAACCATTTCTTGTGTTCTTTTAACTCTCTTTCCCATCTCTAACCATCTGCTTTATGATATATGCATGCATTAAGACTTTTGCCATTTATCATGTTTAAATGAAACAAATATATTCTGTATAATTATATTTTAAGATTCTAAATTAAGTATACTGCCTTTATTTCTTCCATTGGTAAATTTTCACTTCATCTCTGCTAAAGAAATTAATATCAGAGAAAGTAATAAAATATGTTTAACAGTGTATTATACTATTAACATGAGTTATCTCAACTTATCTCATTAATGAAAGTGAGTATTCAGACCCATATGCTTTTTGTACACACCCACACCAACTAACTTTCTGTGCCTTTGCCCTATATGTCGCCATCCTGTTGCCTTGCTGTCACCCTCCTGTCACCTTTCTCTGTCGCTATCCTGCTTGACCTGTCCTGTATCAGGTCGCCGGCTGATGGTTCGAAAGAGGGTTCAGTTCAGCCACGATCCCCTCGAACAAAGGAAAATATGTCTGAGAGGTAAAGACAACTGCTAGAGAATGAACTTTGAGAACAGCCAACAAGCTATGACGTATTCTGTTGAAATGATATGAATAAACACTGTGAGATGGATACCTTCTGTTAGTATATCACAGATACTGTCGGACATGGATACCTTCTGTTAGTATATCACAGATACTGTCGGACATGGATACCTTCTGTTAGTATATCACAGATACTGTCGGACATGGATACCTTCTGTTAGTATATCACAGATACTGTCGGACATGGATACCTTCTGTTAGTATATCACAGATACTGTCGGACATGGATACCTTCTGTTAGTATATCACAGATACTGTCGGACATGTATAACTTCTGTTAGTATATCACAGATACTGTCGGACATGGATACCTTCTGTTAGTATATCACAGATACTGTCTGACATGGATACCTTCTGTTAGTATATCACAGATACTGTCGGACATTGATACCTTCTGTTAGTATATCACAGATACTGTCGGACATGGATACCTTCTGTTAGTATATCACAGATACTGTCGGACATTGATACCTTCTGTTAGTATATCACAGATACTGTCGGACATGGATACCTTCTGTTAGTATATCACAGATACTGTCGGACATGTATAACTTCTGTTAGTATATCACAGATACTGTCGGACATGTATAACTTCTGTTAGTATATCACAGATACTGTGGGACATGTATAACTTCTGTTAGTATATCACAGATACTGTGGGACATGTATAACTTCTGTTAATATATCACAGATACTGTCGGACATGTATAACTTCTGTTAGTATATCACAGATACTGTCGGACATGTATAACTTCTGTTAGTATATCACAGATACTGTGGGACATGTATAACTTCTGTTAATATATCACAGATACTGCTAGCCGGACATGTATACCTTCTGTTAGTATATCACAGATACTGTCGGACATGGATACCTTCTGTTAGTATATATCACAGATACTGTCGGACATGTATACCTTCTGTTAGTATATCACAGATACTGTCGGACATTGATACCTTCTGTTAGTATATCACAGATACTGTCGGACATGTATACCTTCTGTTAGTATATCACAGATACTGTCGGACATGTATAACTTCTGTTAGTATATCACAGATACTGTCGGACATGGATACCTTCTGTTAGTATATCACAGATACTGTCGGACATGGATACCTTCTGTTAGTATATCACAGATACTGTCGGACATGGATACCTTCTGTTAGTATATCAGTATACATTGATACCTTCTGTTAGTATATCTGATACTGGACATTGATACCTTCTGTTAGTCACAGATATCGGACACAGATACTGATACTGTCGGACATTGATACCTTCTGTTAGTATATCACAGATACTGTGGGACATGTATAACTTCTGTTAGTATATCACAGATACTGTCGGACATGTATAACTTCTGTTAGTATATCACAGATAACTTCTGTTAGTATATCACAGATACTGTCGGACATGTATAACTTCTGTTAGTATATCACAGATACTGTCGGACATGTATAACTTCTGTTAGTATATCACAGATACTGTGGACATGATACCTTCTGTTAGTATATCATCACTGTCGGACAGACTTCTGTTGTATATCACAGGACATGACATGGATAACTTCTGTTGTATATCACAGATACTGTCGGACATGTATAACTTCTGTTAGTATATCACAGATACACGGACATGTATAACTTCTGTTAATATATTACTGTGGGACATGGATACCTTCTGTTAGTATATCACAGATACTGTCGGACATGTATAACTTCTGTTAGTATATCACAGATACTGTCGGACATGTATAACTTCTGTTAGTATATCACAGATACTGTCGGACATGTATAACTTCTGTTAGTATATCACAGATACTGTCGGACATGGATACCTTCTGTTAGTATATCACAGATACTGTCGGACATGATACCTTCTGTTAGTATATCACAGATACTGTCGGACATTGATACCTTCTGTTAGTATATCACAGATACTGTCGGACATTGATACCTTCTGTTAGTATATCACAGATACTGTCGGACATGGATATATTCTGTGAATACTGAATCAACATGTTATCTGTAGACAAATTCTGTTGACAGAGACATTCTGTTAATGATGGATAAACATATATCCATATTGTTAGGATGGCATAAATATTACCAGACATGGATACATTCCATGAATATGGAAACAAACATGTTATATGTAGACATATTCTGTTTGCAAGGAATAAACTGAGACAGAGACATTCTGTCCATTATTTTATATCTAGACACATGTTTATACTGTGAGGAGGGAATAAACGTTATGAGACAGACACGTTCTGTTAATATGTGATAAACACTGTTATTAAGGCTTATTCTATTAATAGGGAGTAGACATCAAACAGGTGCATTCTGGTGATTCAGGATAAACCCTGTCATATATAGATATTACACTGTTCTGAGGGAATATATGTTATCAGACAGATATATTTAGAGCAATCAGAAGTTATTTCATTTGCTCTTTCAATTTTTCAGAGTATTCTGAAGCTAACAAGAAGGTGAGAAATATGTACTGAATGTCAACATCAGTTATCATATCTCATTAAATAAATAAATAATTCTTCATAGGAGACCAATATCAAGCATTTAACTGTCAAAATGACCACCAAAACCTTTAACAGGAAGTGAAAGTTGATATAATTCTGAAAAAACATTCTAGTTTAAAGATTGAAAGAAAACACTGATGCTGGGTTATCTGTGTATCTCAAGGTTACCAGGTTTTCCATTCACTTTTACTGAGAAATAATTTTATCCATTGGGGTTATGACTCTTTGTAAAATGAACCAATGAAAATTCAGTTAAAAAGCTGTAAGAATATTAGCCCTTTCTATCAACAACATCTACCATGAAATTTAAAGCTAAGTATTATCGCAGCTTCCTTTTAAGTCGACCCGTGAAAATCCGGGGTAGAATAGGTCTTCAGCAACCCATGATTGCCACAAAAGGCGACTATGCTTGTCGTAAGAGATTCGAGTAATGAGATTGGGTGGTCAGGCTTGCTGACTTGGTTGACACATGTCATCGGTTCCAATTGCGCTGATCGATGCTCAAGCTTTTGATCACTGGATTGTCTGGTCCAGACTCGATTATTTACAGACCGCCACCATATAGCTGGAATATTGAGTGTGGCGTAAAACTAAACTCACTCACTCACTCACTCCTTTTAAGTCTAGGAGAGCCCACCACTACAGTATATCATACTTTAGGATTTAGAGGTTAATTGTGGAAGCCGTTACCAATTTTAGAGCCAATTATGGTGGATTAGAGCACAGGGACTGGCAATATCCTTGGTATGTAAGTGATAGACTGTGATGTGATACAATTGTCCTCATCAGGATCTAGAGTTGAAGAGTCTGGAGCTAGAACGCACCCGTGGAGGTGCAGGTGCTCCCGTACTTGACACAGATGGTAAAACGCTGACGAGGTTTCCTATAACAATGAAACGGGATAACATGGGAGGTAACTACGTCTTAATGTTACTTTAAACTCACCCACAGCAGCGGGAGATGGAGTATTATAAGCATGAGTCTTCTTGAAGCTCTACACTTCAATGTATTTTCATTCCTTGGCACAGATGCTTTATATTTTTTAATTTCTCTGTATAGTTTAGCATGGGATAGTGTACTGCTTCTTTTGTAACTTACACTGCATGGATCTAATGTACACCTAACACTTCACCGCTGTGTCGTCCGTCATGTTGAAATGCCTGTACGTTACTTGAGTAACTCTTTTCAAATGTTTCCTTGTAAAATATTTTAGTTGCAACCTTGAGAGATCAAGTTGTCACCAACAAGCGCTCCCAAGTCTGGGAGCCGGAGGAGGCGATGTATTCTCCCTTTGGTCGTCCAGGATGTGGAGCTCCCATGAAGGATACAGAGGGAAGGATAGTCGCCGTCTACCAGGGAAAACTCAGGGATGTAAGTATACATTGTGTCTTGATTGTGGAGTTCATATATTGGTGGTTATTTAGCTCTTCATAATGAACATCAGGACCTTATACCTTACCTCAGCTCTTCATATTGTTCATCATGTTTTGATAGCTTCAACCAAGTATTGATAGCTTATGTCAGCTCTTGATAGCCTACACCAGCTCTTCATAGTTCAACCATATATTGATAGCTTCAACCATATATTGATAGCTTCAACCATATATTGATAGCTTCAACCCATATATTGATAGCTTCAACCATATATTGATAGCTTCAACCATATGGTGATATATTGATAGCTTCAACCATATGGTGATATATTGATAGCTTCAACCATATATTGATAGCTTCAACCATATATTGATAGCTTCAACCAAATATTGATAGCTTATGTTAGCGCTCAAGTCTTGATAGCTTACACCATCTCTTCATGTTTTTCCCCAGATCTTGATAAAACTTATTTTTTTTCTGAATTATAATTTATCGAGCAGCTGCCATTTCACACTTGCTAGCAGTACACCTTTTGATATCAGTGCATTGTGTAGGATAGATATATAGAGGATACTAAACTCGCTTCTGTGTAATACCATTTTTATTAAGCGAGTTAATGATTTGGTATCAAAGCGAGCAAAAGCGAGTGTGATACTAAATCTTTCACAAGTTAAATAATAATTGTATTTCACAGAAGTGAGTTTAGTATTCTGTGTATTACTCTCCAACATGAATTGGTAGAAACTGCCTACAGAGTGATGACTCTCAGCTTACCCACAAGTCAAGCAAGGTCTAATACCATTGTGACAGAGGTAAAGTACTGTCGGAAATAGAAAAAACCCTGTATTTTCCATTTATCTCTACAATTTATGTAGTTGATATGTGCAAGTGTGAAATATCTGTTAAACTAAGTTTGGCCTAACTACAGCCTCAGTGGTAGAGATAGGAAATGTAGAAAAAGGACTTTACCGAGGAGACATTAGTGCAGAAATGAGCAAGGCAAATTTTTTCTAAGTCCAAAACGATTTATTTGGAACAGACCATGGCTTTATGCAAATTAGTGTGCGACGATATTATATTACAAAGGACACTTTTAAATCCCCAATTTGAAATTAGATGTAGCTTCATTATAAACGATAGCTGGCATAAAAATAACTAACTTTCATGCTGAAACTGTTAAGGATGTAGCTACCATGGAGTCTCACTGTCACTATAAAAGAAACAGATAGGGAGGGTTCGTCTCAAAAGCAAAACCTGGACGGGTGTCGCAGACGATCGTTGGGGTCGGGTTGGGGTCGAGATATCAGCTAAGATAAGATAATCCTTTAGGGAATTATACTGGGGAAGTACACGGCATGTCATAACAATTTACCAATAATATCCAGTCCTGTCGATCCTCGCGATCGGGTGGTCATTCCACCTATATATTTTGAGACATTTAATACGATGCGATTCTGTGGTTATCAGGTATCATACTGTTTTACATATCTCACATATATCTTCATGAAAGAAAGACACGTAAGATGTTAATCAATAGATGAGGCTCAGTCAACATACATGAAAAAGCACAAAATACCTTTGAGATGACCCCTTGTGCCTGTATGCAGCACATGCATTTCATGCCAGGTTAGTCGACGGTCCGTCGTCATACCTGGCTGAGCAACCTAATTGCCATCTATAGTCTGATCTATTGTTTTCAGCTGCCTTTCGTATTTTTTCTAAGTTTTGCCCGATTTCACGAGTAAACATGCTTTTCTTGATATCATATTACGCATCCCTCTGAATGCCCAGTTAGGCCGATGTGGGTTATTTTGACTTATGCTATTTGCAGTTGTTTAAATTTTAGGGATACAGAGTAACAGCCTAAAACAGTTTTTTCTATTTCCGACAGTACTTTAGTACCATTGGGACATCATAACTGTAAACCATTATGACATCATACATCTAGTGGTATTACGCTAGTGTAATATTGGCGTAAAAATATTACACTGCAGTATCTTCCACGGGCAAGTAATAAATCATATTATTAAGAAATCGAGTGAAACTATTGTCTGTTTGATGAGAAAGCCATAAAATATTAGGCCTAATTCATTCCTGTTTTTTATGATGGAGACTTTGCATGCTGCTATTGAGGTTATCCACATGTCTGCAGTGTGGAAGCAAATCTTTATTGATGTATAGTATTCTTAAGCAAGTTTCCTGTCTGCAGACTGGTTCAGCTGACAAGATCAGGAAAACGAGAGCTGCTCTCAGCTACAGGAAGGATCTCCGTAAGTGTACACACTTGTTCAATAAATTCCAGATTATGTCTTTGATATGCTTTGAAGGTGCTCCCATGGAAATCAATAAAAACCCTTGGCACATGAGTGTACACTGAAAGTGTAGACTAATGGACAGCTTTGGCAAACTACCTCATCCATGTCTCATTGAGTGAGTGAATGAGTTGGGTTTTATGCCACTGTTAGCAATATTTCAGCAATATCATGGTGGGAACACCAGAAATGGGCTTTACACATTGGGCCCATCTGGGAATCAAACACTGGCTTTCGACATGATGAGCGAACACTTTTACCATTGGGCTACTCTACGCCCCTCGGGTCTCATTGTACAGTCAACTATGGGTATAATGAACTGAAGGGGACTACCTATTTTAACATGTTATAACCATTGTTTGTTGTACACATTTTGACTAAAATATACAGGAAATGGCGATTACCTAAAAATTAGTTTGCTATGTTTGTCAGTTTGTTATAAGGGGCGGTGGGGTAGCCTAGTGGTTAAAGTGTTGGCGTCGTCACGCCGAAGACCTGGGTTCGAATCCCCACATGGGTACAATTTGTGAAGCCCATTTCTGGTGTCCCCCGCCGTGATGTTGCTGGAATATTGCTAAAAGCAGCGTAAAACCAAATTCAGTCAGTAAGTTTGTTATAAGCATGGTCGTGACCATCATAGTTTATTGAAGTTGACAACCTGATTGACAAGTGGAAGATCATTGTTTTTTCAAATCCAAGTCTTATTTACTATGGCGTTATCCCTCCTGATCTCTTTCCCAGCATTCCTTGTCCTAAACACCCCAGTTGATGCTCTCACTATCCACCACTGATTCATTAATTCTAGGCCCTTGTGAACCTTGCAGACATTTTGTTGGTTAACCTTTTCACCGAATCTTTAAATCGCTTTTCCATCATTATTTTCCAGCCTAGTTTCAACAAAGTAAATAAGTGCATTAATATTGGTTGTATGTAAAACTACACAGCAAGTCCAGCTTAGGTATCAGATCCTCTAAATATAGAACCATAGAATTTAAAGCTGCAGATACACGTTAAAGATTTTGTTGCATCATGTGATGTTAATATGTTCTGCATCTGTCGTGCTGTGGGTGATGAAGGATATGTCACTATAGAGACATAAGGGAAGATTGTGCATACTTAAAACTGTGACATCGACCTATTGTTTCTGAGCTTCTCTGACTAATACAAGGGTTCTGTTTAATATTAAATTGATTATTCTAAGGAATCAATAGAAAAATCTGCCTTTCATCACAAAGTTGATGTTTTAACTGAGGTAATGAAAAGCAAACAACTGTTTGTTGAATCCTGTCTTCAGAATCAATATGTGAAGTTAATCAGATGGTTGTCCAGCATGTACCTGACATATCCCAGTACACAGATCAAGGTCTCTGTGTTGTTATGTATGTAATCTGTTACCATGGTTGCAGAACATGAAATGGAAGAACAGAAGAGGAACAGAGAAGACATGGAAAACTACATGAAGGCTCCAGTGAGTAAACACTTTGAGTTTTCCATGTGGCATGTCATATTTCGATTTTTCCTATCGTGGCATTCTGTTGCTCATTGTCATTGGTTTGGTGGCAAGGCCTTTTAGAAGCTACATGAGATTGAAGCTACATGTAACCTGAAGGATTTGTTTGCTGGTCATGCTTTATGTAGCAAATAACCATGAAAAAATATTGTTTTGGTTCTCCATTCAGAGAAAAAATTAATAAAAAAACAATGGAAAAAATCATTTATCTATAACAAATCTCCTGGGGGCCCCTTCTAGAATATTAAGAATAGTGGATTCCATCTTATGTCCTTTCAATGAAATGCGCTGGCCAGCAAAGTACTTAACCCGTTTTACAGGTTTCAACTATTGTATCACAGTATACAGTTATTGGCTTAATATCAGGCCAATCATTATTTTTCGAGGAACAAAAATAGAGAAAAACCAATATTGACCATGTTGATATCATCTTTTTGTGGTCTATTAAACAAGGTATTGTCCTCATATAAAGTCTGTTATTGTCAATGACAAGATGAAAGCCAAATCAATGTATCTAACTTTTGACTAAAATAAGGTAAAAATTTCAAACAAACAGATTCATGTGATTGGGTCAGGTTTGGGAAAAGCCGCTTCCAGGAATTTCCATTTGATTGTTAGAAAGTCAAGTCAATACTATTAATTATCTGACCTGATGTTAATATGCGTCTCAGTTGCATGGCCTGTGAATATGGCTGAAAACATTGCATTGTTTAATACATTGTGCGACAGGTTGGTGAACTGACAGAGATCATGAAAGAGGGACTTGTAGGGAGACCTCGCCGTGACCCCATCACTGGCACATTGCTGAACCAACACCTCGCAAACTCTGACATATCCAAGCTGGTATGTATCTGATCACATTGCTTACAGGCCTAGGTACATTAGACTGATATATTAATGAAAGAAGCACCCTGCTAGAATGTGTCTTTGAATGACAAGTCAAAGTGTTACCTACCTTGTTTTAATGAGATTTGGAATACATTAGCAAGATAAAAAGGATTCTTTGCTTAAAATTCATTTAAGAATTAAGGCATTTATGATATGTTGATCTTCTCCAAAGTCTAAGCATCTAGCCTTTATTATTAGGTTTTCCTTCTCAAAGATACAAATGAAAGAATTGCAGAATTTCTGTGGAATACTAGTGGGTACCAATATTGTTGAATAAATGCTTTTGGTTGGATTTAAAAGTTAAAAACTGTAAAATTACTAAACTCATATATGGAATATTAAACACAAATCTTTGTCTCGGTTTTTACACCCAGGACGCTTAGAATATTGAATATGGCATTTGGTCTTTGATAAATGGAGCCTCCTTTGTTTGAAACAAGTGATACTATTTTGATCACTTCATGGACACAAATCCAGCTTTCTGGGTGAAAAGTGTCGGTGAAATTCAGAAGGTTACATGAACCACCTTCTCACTGCAGAAAATGAACAAGTCAGAGACCAAGCCGGTGAACTCGATGAAGGAATACCACGACTTCCTCACACACCAGGCTCTGGAACGTGAACGCATCCAAGAAACTGGACAAACTCCGAGACAATCAGGAATGGAGACATGTTAGTATTGACCTTAGCACTATGACTATTGCAGTTTGATGTTAAAGAATGGGAGTTAGCATTTTGTCAAGGCTAATGGTGAGTGGTTTAGTGATGGGAAATGAAATACCTAGAGTCTGTTACACGTCATAATTATCTGAAGTCAAAATTGTATGACAGTTTTTCAGTTAGTGCCACTTAAAATTCGCAAGTTTTCTTAAACTTTGCACTGTGATTTGTTCTTCAATGTTTTGGTTCGAAGTATTGAAATTACAACACACACAGCGCTATGATTGTGTCGTGAGACTTGGAGAACGGTACATGGGGATTTAGTTTTATGTGTGTCTGGGTCAAAGGTTCCCATAATGCTATTTATATTCCAAATATATGATGTTTATGATATGGAAACACATTAAGCCAATAATCTCTTCACCATTTGATGTAAAATGATGGATGATTAGGGCACAATTTTGCCCAATGAAGCAGCTTCAGAAACCAAAACCGAATACAATTTTTAGGTAAACAGCCCAATTTATTATGTAGTACCAAGTGACATGCAGCTATGACTCTAGCATCATGTTTAATAAGAAAACCATAATTATTAGACAATACTTTATTGAGGAAGAAAGTTTTAAATTGATATATGGAGTTTGAAAGAAGTTCTTGTTAGGAAACCTTAGTTGAAAATCTACCAATTCATGTTGCAGTCTTTTTTGATGGGCTTATTATAACAGTGATAAATTAAGAATCATCATCTCAACAACAGATTATCATGAATTGAACTAACAAGAACTACATATACTAAGGTGTATATGTCCATGTGATACACTCTGCCCAAGAGATTATGGAGTAACTTTCTAAATATCTTTACCTAGGCTTTGTCAATAGGTGAATGCATCATGACTGCATATTTTGACTCTTCATAATATATTATTTAAATTCATTACAGTAAGATTTCAAGTGAATGTGAGTTTAGCTTGTCTTTTGATATAAACTGTATTCCTAATATATTCCTAATGTATTCCTAAATTGTGCTCTTAACATATTTGTATAATTAAAAAACATGGGAAATAATCTCTGTTTACTATGCTCAGCATCATGACGTGTTTGGAACTATGTTCGGCAAGAGGGGAGGTGGTGCACCAAAGGGAGATAATCTGAAGAAGGAGAGGCTGGACAACACCCTGTTTTCCCCAAGACGTGATGTAAGTAAAAACTATCAGTAGAATATTGATAAATTCCTTGTGTTTTTTCCTAGGAAAATATTTTTGCTAAGGAAAATAATATGTGACATTTATGTATTTATGAATTAGTAGGTGCATTATTCATGTTAAGCTCATTTATTACTAAAGATGGAAAATGTCCATTTTGTTCAGCAAAATATATGCAGTGAAACTCAGATAATCTGAATGTTCCCAAATTTGGTAGTGGGGAGAATGGTTTCAAATTTTGGAAATGTTTTATTTCCTTGTAATGTTAAGTTGGTAGGAAATCTTTTGTTTCTTTAAGGTTGAGAGTTCATTAGGATATATTTTCAACATAATGATAGCATTTTAAATCATTTATATATATAGTTACAGTGAATGAGATTTTTCATTACATTTACTTACTGCTGATAGGCGAAAAACAATTTTAAATTTTGTTCCTTTTGTTGTCAATTTTTGTTGTTAATGAAATTTGAGAAAGGTCTGGGTATAAATATAACATCCTTTTTTATTTACAAACTATCCCCAAAACAGTCGCCAGGATGGGGATTTTGGACTAACATACATGTAGTGTAGATTAATGCGTTTCACTGTAACTAGATTGTTTCCCCACAAAATGGATATTTACCTTAATCTCAATTGTCATGCTAAGTCATATTATGAGCTGAAGTAATTATACAAAGACAAGCTATGAGCTCTGTCTCAGCTGTTGTTTTAACATATTGTTTCTTGTTATTGGAAGACCTTGGGCTCCTGGAAAAGATCATTCTTAGGGCCCACTTTCACAAAGTGAACTTAGTGCTATGATCCCATACCCTCCCATACCCTTCACATTTACATAAGATAGTTATAGCACTAAGATGGCTTTGTGCAAGGGGGCCCTGAACTATAACACTAACCTTACATGATTAGACTAATATAACGGTAATGCTATTTTTGAGGGCATTATCATTTGCAGAAGCCCAAGGTCTTTCATTAACTGCCCGACGAAGGAGGGCAGTTGAAAAAGACCGAGGGTTTCTGCAAATGATAATGCCCTCAAAAATAGCATTACCGTTATTATTGCTAAAATACATGGAATTTGTGTTGAAAAGAAAAAGGAAACAATGAAGCAATTTGACTGTAAGTTTACTCAAAACCAACTTCTGACGGGGTTGACTGCCCGAATGCAATTACGTCATCGAACAATTCAAGTGACGTCACAACAGAACGTGACGACATTCGACTTTGGCCTTTGACAAGACCATAGCCTGCAACATGTCAAACTATGTCAGACACAACGTCAGTTTTCAGTGTTCAGTTTTGGTCCAACAACAACGTTAATGGTGCAATTGTTAGGTTAGCACCAGCAAGAAAGCCAATATTACCGCTATTTAAAGCGGGAATTCGGGTTCCTTTGACTTGTTTGCCCCAGAATATCTGCCAGTCCAAAGCCAATGTCGAATGAACCGTAAGCCCACACACCCACTATGACGTCACTTGACAACAGAACTGATAGTGGCCCGTCGTTAAGGTTGAGCGGTCCAATATCATTTGCAGCGCCCGCAAATGTCTGATAATGGGATGGCCGTTTCATGATAATTCCATGTATTTTAGCTATAATATATCATTATTTGGGTCACAGTTGTATGTATATTTGTCCACTTACCCAAAGGAAGGCTGCAAATCTTATATGTTAACTGGGCCTTAGGTCAAGTCAGTTTGAAACTTGGGTATCATGTGCATCCCCTTTTTCAAAATATTAGATCAGCCTCTGTTGACCTTTGTTTGAGGTGGAGGATGTTAAAAACAGTAAGTGAGTGAATGTTATTTTATGTCGCTGTCCACAAAAATTCAGCTTTATGATGGCTACATATAGATAATGTCAGTGCAATCAGCCAAATGGCTGACAGCTGAGCAGTGATCCTGCAGTTAGAGTGAGTGAGTGAGTTGGGTTTTATGCCGATTAGGCAATATTCCAGCAATATCATGGTGGGGAACACCAGGAATGGGTTTCACACATTGTACCCATGTGGGAAATTGAACCCGAGGCCTTTGGCAGGACAAGCAAACGCTTTAACCACTAGGCTACGCCACCGCCCCCTGCAGTTGGAGGAAAAAGATGTGGAAAAAAGACTAAGGAAGGAATGTTGTTTTATGACACATTCCACATTAATTCCACTGTGTCATGGCAATCTTTAAGTAATAACAATATGGCTTGGCAAATGGCTGATAGCCTGAGCCCCGATCCTTCAGTTGGAGAAGAGGCTGTGAAGCATTGAGTGAATGTTGTTTTATGCCTTATTCCACAATAATTCAGATGCATCATTGTAATCTGTAGATAATAACATCATGGCCCAACAAGTGGCTGATAGGATGAGCACAGATTCATACCAGGTATGGTTCCGATGACACAGAGTCATCCATGGCCATGTAATTCAACTACCAATTATTCGCTTCTATGCAGTTGTTGCTATGGTGTTTCTCGGGCAACAAGCCAAAGACATGTGGGAGTTGAGGCAGCATTAACAAACTGTAATCTTTCTTCAGGCTAATGGAAAATTGATCATGGACAAAAAGGCTGTTACCGATTTGGCTGAGGTTCGTTGGTTTGGACGCTTCACTCTGTTGATAATATTGCATGTTTCTCTGTCTGTCAGTGTCATGTTTCTTATGCTACATGGGGTTTTTAAGAAAATGTTTCATTTTTGTATTTTTTGTTCATGTATTCTTTATCAAAATTCACATCAACCATATGCATGTCATTCATCAACACAATGCTATTTTAAGAGGTTATTTAGAGTATATATATTAAACAAGTTTTTAATTAATTTAATTAATTCAATTTTGGGATGAATCTTCATTTCTTTAAAATTTGCAGAAATGTTCATGCCATGTGTTGAAATTGTAAACAATGTATTTAATTTGAAGAACTAAATTTTCATTTAAAAAAATGATTTTGTGATAAAAGAGAAAAAAAACAAAAATGATATCTCCCCATTTAACGTCCCCTGTAGCTTCCTGAGTGGATGGAAGCGCCACCTAGGGAGATTCTTACCACGCGGAGTATGCCAGAGGTATTGAGTTTGTAACTGTTTGGTATAATGGCCACAATGTACCAAGTTTGAACTGCATGTATTTAGCCAATGTATGCACCATAAATAACATGTTTGATTTGCCGTTATTAATTTCACATGCATAAATATTAGATTTTTTTGTGGGTGTATTATGGTGATGTTTGACTGACAACAAGCAATGTACAAGTACTGACCTGTGTTATCCCTGTTTGTGTTACATGTCATGTATCCTGTCTATATATGTGCCTTTGGGTCGTTATTGATACAATCTCTGAAATACAGGTATTGATATCTTTTTCCTCAAGCATTTTCCAAACGTAATTCAAATAATATTTGTGAAACTTACTCAAACAGTGTTAAACGTAACTCAGATTACAAGAAACATACCTCAAACTGATGAAACATAACTTACGTTTTGTGAGACATACCTCAAACTGTGTGAAACATACTTCAAACTTTGTGAAACATACCTCAAACTTTGTGAAACATGCCTCAAACTTTGTGAGACATATTTTTGTGAGACATACCTCAAACTTTGTGAGACATACCTCAAACTTTGTGAAACATACCTCAAACTATGTGAAACATGCCTCAAACTTTGTGAGACATACCTCAAACTTTGTGAGACATACCTCAAACTTTGTGAAACATACTTCAAACTATGTGAAACATACCTCAAACTTTGTGAAACATGCCTCAAACTTTGTGAGACATACCTCAAACTTTGAGAAACATACCTCAAACTTTGTGAGATATACTTCAAACTTTGTGAGACATACCTCAAACTTTGTGAGACATACCTCAAACTTTGTGAAACATACCTCAAACTGTGTGAAACATACCTCAAACTTTGTGAAACATGCCTCAAACTTTGTGAGACATACCTCAAACTTTGAGAAACATACCCCAAACTTTGTGAGATATACTTCAAACTTTGTGAGACATACCTCAAACTTTGTGAGACATACCTCAAACTATGTGAAACATACCTCAAACTTTGTGAAACATACCTCAAACTTTGTGAGACATATACCTCAAACTTTGAGAAACATACCTCAAACTTTGTGAGACATACTTCAAACTTTGAGAGACATACCTCAAACTTTATGAGACATACCTCAAACTGTGTGAAACATACCTCAGACTTTGTGAAACATACCTAAAACTTTGTGAGACATACCGGTACATCAAACTTTGTGAAACGTACCTCAAACTTTGTGAAACATACCTCAAACTTTGTGAGACATACCTCAAACTTTGTGAAACATACCTCAAACTGTGTGAAGTATAACTTAAGTGAAATGTCATTGAAAAGAGAAAACTTGTATACAGGGCAGCCCTAATAATTTTTCAACACATGTAAATATATTTCATTAGATCAACAGGTTTCCTGTACCTTGCACAACAATTAATAACATTTCTGTATATCATTCATTAGATTGATGGAAATAACCTGAAATTAGAAATCTTAAACCAGTGTAATTTAATTTGATTAAAATGAGATCCTTACAGCGATACAATACCTCACAGAGTGAGACCAACCCATCGTAGGACATTGTATCAGGAGAACGCTCAAGTCATCAAAATTATATATATTCAATCACCTTCAAGTCTACTTCAAGGCTTATGAGAGTGAGCAAAGCATTCTGACCAGCATATCTGATTTCTGTATGGTAATAGAGTCAAGGAAAACAAAGTATGTATTGATTGTGTCCTGGCCTCAAATGATACTGTAGGTGGTATTTGTGTGCTGTGAACGGGTATCTGTGTTGACAGATTAATGCTTTCAGATTCAAAGAAAGAAGGGTTTCATTCATTGTTATCTTGAGAATCTAATACTGAACTGGCAAATCACTGTATGGAACACCTTCAACATGACACTGACCAACTGGCCACACAGCTACCATAATGCAGTTCTGCAACAATTATTACTAGCATGTCAATAGGTAATCAATAACTGATCAATTGCCAAAAAAGATTACGAGAACAATAATCTGAATTGATCTTTGGGATTCCTTGATTACCCCACATCAACATGAATCATGATGGGACAAGGTTTCTCGGCTGTAGGTTTACCATGCAATACTTAGGCTTTTAATTACTGCAGCATACAAATGTCTTAGACAGGCATATAAATCCATATCACCAGGTACAACAGTATCAGCTAGCTGCTCACATGTTGTGGACATCCGATCATCATTTCAGTTCGACAACATAACAGCAAGAAATATTCCACTTAAAAGTAATTCAGGACTACTTTGTTTCATATTGTTAAATTAACATATCATGGCATGACAGGCAGTCTATAGTGTCATGGCATGAGGTCGGGAGGTTCTGAACGTTTTTTGGGTAGTATATACAATTAGTGGCACATGTCATTTGTTGAGAGAGTTTTTTGTGTTACTTACTTGCACTTTTTAGTGTAAAATTAACCAAAAAGGCTTTAGGACAAAGGGAGAGTTTGTAGAACATATGACGTGCCCAGTGAGTGATTATGTTTTTTATTTGTAAAACCCAATGCCAATTATTTATTTGTAGAATCAATTGATTATGAATTAACAAGACACTGATTCTTCATCTGGAATCAACATTCTATTTTTGTCAGAACTACCTGCCATTAAATATCAACACATGGCTCAGTAACTAAGATTTATCCTCATTCTTTCATTATTAATTCTATAGGCTCTGCATACAACCCCATCCATTTCCATTACAAATGAACATTCTAATAAAAGCCAAAATAGTTTAAGATTTTTTTAACAATCATTTTCATGATAAATATCTATCCATACAAACAATACTTCTGTTTCTATTGTGTTTTTTCCAACACATTTTTAAGAGTTGGCACAGACACAGTCAAGGATCTTAGTCACATTGCCTGACATTGCCTACAGACAATCAAGGTCCCAGTGTAAATGTTGGCTGTTAGATGTACATGTGTGAACTTGTATACGTACCTTGTGTGGTTTACCTGTGTCAGGACTGAACTCGGTCATGTTCTTGTACACCTGTCCGGTTCTCCTTTGTCACAACTCTGTGGCAGCTTTCTGTGTAAATGTTACTCACACATATTGTGTCATTTATCCGTACATTTGTTCGTGGGACTGCAAGGAAGATTTGATCAATGTTATTTACCTATGTGTGTCATGCTGCACACAATGTATATTATGATTATCATTAATGATGAAAATTTGAAGTGGATTTTTTTATATGCTGTTTGTATTTTTCTGACCTAATTATTCATTAAGAAAATCTAAACAGTTCAGTGTGCATACCAGTACTCAACAAACTGATATCTTCAATGTACTGAAATTACATTTGTAATGAAAGACATTCAAACCTTGTTGTGTTGAACTTAGATGTGTCGAATTCCCGGTTGTCTTGAGCTCATCTGCCAGTTCCTACATATCCTGCTACTTTTTTTCACTGTCATGTGAAACTGGACGTGTAGAATTCCCAGTTGTCAACTCAATTTGGGAGTCTTAAGTATTAAATTCAAGCATAACATTCCACTGATGACTTGAACAGTTCAAAATACATTCCCATACCCTCACTCGCTAGTTTTTAACCTTCTAGTTCACTTCACACACACAATCCTAGTTGCAATCACATAAACAGCAGTGTCCCAATATCCGATCAAACCTAATTACTATGAATTCCCTACATCAAAGGTGCAAGGTGATTAATGTATACACATCTGAAAATCAAGTAAACCAGATTAAGATTCTGTTAGAGAATCAGTTTCAGGCAGTGTCCTATACAGCAATGCTGATCTGAATGGGGACAGGGAGACTGAAACTACACCTGAGTGACCTGCCCTTCACTACCTGCAGTCTCGTCAATGCCATTTACACTTGTCTTGAAATCAAGAGGGTTGCATGATATTTGGCAGTGTAGGAAAGATAGCCCGTCCCAACGTCCGAGACGGATGGATTTTGTGGATGACGGGTTAAAAATATATCTAGTCCATCCTCATGTCGGGTCAATTTTAGCAAACCAATGACATATATATAATGATTATAACCTTTTTGAATATTTACTGCCGAAGGTGTTTTATTTATATTTGGAGGACAGGCTAGATTTTGGCAGGACTGGTAAAAAATTTGACCTGCCAGTCCTGTGGACAGGCTAGATTTTCTACATCTTTCCTACACTGTGTTTGGTTTACAAAATTCACATTGTTGGTTGTCAGAGTCGAAGCCCAGATAGCTAATCTTTTTCCAGATCCCCACAAGTTTGACACAATAAGGTTCGAGTGTAGCTTACATTTACATTTTCAGAATGTTCTTGATGCGAATATTATACAAAACTCTAACACAGCATTGATTATGTCATTCGTTGCAATATATCTTAAGGAAATTATTCTGACACACCATGTGATACAATTAGAGACGTATATGAGGTCAGTACCTGATGTTATGGACTCCTAGGGGTAGAGTTTGTATGATATGAAGCCACCCAAATAATAGCCTCTTTACCAAAACATCAAATTGTAGAAAGATCTATATGCGAGTGAATCAAATAATTGTTCACCTTGTTTGGATGACATTTGTGGAAATCAAGCTGAGCAGACGACACACCAAGGGACATAACTCTAATTTCTTACCATCTAGGCTGGTATTGATGCCAATTCATTATGAACTGACAAGCTGTATCAGCCCGATATGTGAGTGTGTGTCATGATGCAACACATGTGTGTGTAAGTGTTTTTTACTAGTTGTTGAGTGGGATACAAGTTCATGTTCTCTGTCGTGCAGCACAAGGCATATGTGGGGGGATCAGAATGAAGAGTACAGTTCCTCCAAGTTGGGGCAGAGGTTTGTCAAGTCCACCATTCCCAGCAAGCACTCCAACATGTACGAGATCCCTGAAAGAGGACCTTCAAATGTGAGTTCACTGAACCTTATAACATTTTTATCATCAATAAGTATCTAGGATCTTTCAGTAAAGGGCCTGTTATTGTCTATGTAGATGGGAGACTGCCAGCTCTTGACACTCTCATGTCTTATAGTCCACCTTGAGAACACACTATCATCTGTCATAGTCCCCCAAGAGGGCACCTTGACTATCAACTGTTATACCCCACTGAGAGGAAACACACCATCTGTTATACCCCACCGAGAGGAAACTGATCAACTGTTATACCCCACTGAGAGGAAACACACCATCTGTTATACCCCACCGAGAGGAAACACATCATCTGTTTTATCCCACCGAGAGGAAACATATCATCTGTCATAGTCCCCCAAAAGGGTACCCTGACTATCATCTGTTATACCCCACTGAGAGGAAACACACCAACTGTTATATCCCACCGAGAGGAAACACATCATCTGTTATATCCCACTGAGAGGAAACACATCATCTGTTTTATCCCATTGAGAGGAAACACATCATCTGTTATATCCCACTGAGAAGAAACACATCATCTGTTACACAGAGATGCCAACCTCTACGAATTTATTGTAGTTGCTACAAATCTAGCTTCAAACTACGCCAATACTATGGCACTAGAAATTCTACGAAATTTGAAAAAATTCATTAAAATTCACCAAAACATAATATTTTCGTCAATTAAATACATTTTTGGACTTCATTTACCTTTCATTCATCAAATTTAATGACATATTTCAACTAGAATCATTGCAAGTAGCAAAGGTAATTTAAGCGAAATTGTCTATGAGAAATCTGAAGCTGACTTCAAAACCTTTGCGATTTGATGCACTTATTGTGTACCGGCGGAAAATGACGATCCTATCAGAATGATTTAACCACGTGACCATTCCTTTTGATCGATTATATGAAACCGGTATGTGGAATTAAAGCATCACTCTTGATTAGTGTCATATTATCTTTTTCAGAATCCATCATCATTTTAAATATTTAGTTGACAACTAATTTTATGGTCAAACTACTAATTTTGATCCTTACTACTACTATTTCCAACACTTTGGTGTTGCCATCTCTGGTTATATCCAACTTAGAGGAAACACATCGTCTGTTATATCCCACCTGAGGAAACACATCATCTGTTATATCCCACTGAGAGGAAACACATCATCTGTTATACCCCACTGAGAGGAAACACATCATCTGTTATATCCCACCTGAGGAAACACATCATCTGTTATACCTCATCTGTTATATCCCACTGAGAGGAAACACATCATCTGTTATATCCCACTGAGAGGAAACACATCATCTGTTATATCCCACCTGAGGAAACACATCATCTGTTATATCCCACTGAGGAGAAACACTTCATCTGTTATACCCCACTGAGAGGAAACACATCTGTTATATCCCACCAAGAGGAAAGACATCATCTGTTATATCCCACCTAGGGGAAACATATAATCTGTTAGATCCCACCGAGCGGAACCACATCATCTGTTATATCTGTTCCATCTCAGTTCAAAACTGCAGTGATAAAACCACTTCTTAAGAAACCGTCTCTTGCCGCCAACACCTTGCGACATTACAGGCCAGTTTCCAATCTGCCATTTCTGTCAAAGGTTCTGGAGAAGGCGGTGAAGATCCGTCTTTTAGAGCATTTAGAACAGGAACAGTTATTATATGAATTCCAATCAGCATACAGACACAGGCATAGCACCGAGACTGCTCTTGTCCGAGTGGTAAATGATCTGTGCATGGCAGCGGATTCTGGAAAAGTATCTCTCCTAGTGTTGCTTGATTTATCATCAACCTTTGACACGATTGACCATCAGAAGTTGTTATCCAGGCTAAAGACTGATTTTGGAGTGCATGACACAGTTCTGGCATGGTTTGCCTCATATCTGTCAGACAGGAGCCAGTCAGTTGTTGTGAAGACCGTCCACTCACAAAGAGTTCCTCTATCCTGTGGCTTACCCCAGGGGTCTGTCCTGGGGCCCATCTTGTTGTTGACCCTCTACACGAAGCAGTTGGGTCAGCTCCTTGTAGAAGAGAAAATGAACAATCACTTGTATGCTGACGACACCCAGATGTATGACTCATTTGAAATAGAGCAGGAGGAACAGCACAAGACATGGGCAAAGATGGAACATTCCATCTCTGATGTCAAAGAATGGATGACTCTGAACATGCTTCAGCTAAATGAGGAGAAGACGGAAGCTGCTGTTATGGGGCCTAAGACCAAGCTTTCCAAGTTGTGTCAGGACAAACTACATATTAACCAGACAAGCATCGATATGTCCCCTGTTGTGAAGAATCTAGGCGTCCTAATTGATGCTTGATTATCGATGGAACAGCAAGTGAACAACATATATAAAAGTTGTTACTTTCAACTGAGAAACTTTGGGAAAATCCACATCTCATAACTGAGGATTCAGCTGCAAAGCTCGCTTCGTTGCCTGATTCTGACACGATAGACTACTGCAACAGTCTGCTTGCAAACATACCAGCAACACTCCTAAGTAAGCTTCAAGAAGTGCAAAATCAAGCCGGCAGGATAGTCACCAGATCTCCCTCAAGAATGCATAACACCGTTACATTGGCTCCCAGTAGCATGGTGAGAGTGGACTTTAAAATCATCATCCTGGCATATCAGTGCGTTCACAATCTAGCCCCTTCATACCTGTGTGACATTGTATGTATGTACATTCCACCACGCTCCTCAGGTCTGAGAATCAACAGAGACTCATAGTGCCATCATGGAAGAAAATGTCCTTCGGTTACAAGTCCTTTAGTTTCCCTTTGCAGCTGCCACTAAATGGAACTCACTGCCAGATTTTCTCAAAACTTTTTTCTCTTCGCCCAGTCGTTGGAACAATTTAAGTGTCTCCTAAAGACTCATCTGTTCGATTTGTACTTTTAAAGTGACCTCGTACTGCTACTAGTTTTTACTTCTTTTCCTTGACTCTTGTATGCGCTATGAGCATGCCCCAGTGGAGTTTGGCGCCATATAAATGGACATTATTATTATTATTATTATTATATCCCACCTAGAGGAAACACATCTTCTGTTATATCCCACCAAGAGGAAAGACATCATCTGTTATATCCCACCTAGGGGAAACATATAATCTGTTAGATCCCACCGAGAGGAAACACATCTTCTGTTAGATCCCACCTAGAGGAAACACATCATCTGTTAATATCCCACCTAGATGGGACACTGTCAGAACCTGTTTTTGACTACATAGATGGGACAGTGTCAGTTCTTTCATAGACCTTCTAGAATCGACACTGTCATCTATTATAGCCCACCCAGGTGACACTGAGCCAGGCAAGCAAGGTTCTGTCCTGTGATGGCCTTCTGGGAAGAGCTGGTTGATGTAATGGTTGTCTATGTGCATCGTACATGTCTTTGCAGGGTATTAATCTTTGTGTTCTCTACAACAGCCCTACAGTACTCGGGCCCCCTACGCCATCCACAACTACTAGGTGTACCTGGATCTCCACCAGCCAGTGGGATGCAGCATATGGTCATCAGTGGTCAAACATCAGCATGAAATAAACAAAACTGTCCTTCAAGACTTGTTTATTGTTTCCATTTTTCACAATGGACAATTGTTGATTTTGTTATATCACATACTTATTTACAAACCTTAAGAAGCAAATTTGTTGACATTTTGAAATGTTGCATTTGTTAGAAGAAATAAAGTTTCATAAATTAGTGTCTATCTTCTAAACTGTGTAATATTCAATGAATGGTAGAGGCTCTGAATATTGTTTATTTACTGTTTTGTGTTGTTGATATGATGAACTATGTTTCAAAACTGTTGACAACATTTTAATATTTTCTAATACTTTAAATTTTTGTTTTGTATTTTGTGATGTTCATTAATATACCTGAAGCAACAACCACAACCCTAAATATGATACAATAAAACCTGATATCATCACTAAGCATTATTAGTTGAAGGAAGACACTATAAACGGGTTAAGGAAAGCACTGTTAGGTTAAGGAAAGCATTATTAGTTCAAGAAAAGAACTGTTAGGTTAAAGATATATTTGTCAGATTAAGGAAAGAATTTTTAGGCGTAATATCTTTTGTAAACAATTATGGTTTTGTGCACAATGCATGGTAAAATAATCAATTTAAATAATGCAGTTAATTTTCAAACAGTCAAACACATCACAGCTTCACAACCTTTTGTTCAGATTATCTTAACAGGATCCAATAAGTGATGTCATTGAAGGCCTACTGGGTTCTTACAAAACAGGAACAGGATGTGTTTTGACATGGGTCTGAGAGCATGTTAATTTGGAATGTGCACTTTTGTCATACAGTAACTTTGTGAAAGTGGGTTGTATGTTAGATACTTACAAGTTTTTAATAAAACAAATTTTGCATTTGTAAAAACTCCAGTTTGTCATATGGTTGGTCCTTGAAGTCGGTATTTAACTTTAATTAAATGTTGATAGTTGTAAGGGTGTTGTGTTCAGTTGTAAGGAATATGTAATTCTTCGTGAAGTATTAAGGAATTGTTCTTATTGTTCATGTATTTAAAGAAGATTCTCACATTACAAATCTAAAACCTGATTCATCTTCATCTGTCACTATTTTGTATCACCATTTTCACTGGCAAGCAGGATTCATGATTTCGAGGTCCTTTCAAGTGTATCCTGTTTGCCTGAAGAGTGCTTTCTTTACATAACAGTATTTGTGTGCTATACGTTTTTAGTGAAACTTTACTTTGGAATATTGTTGATATTTGTTCATGTTTATTAAATTTTGTGAAAGTGTCTCCATCAATTTTATTCTACACACAAAGTAACTTTATGCATGTTGTCATTTAAACTTGTTTTCTGATAAATCTCTGTTATGAATTAGGGTGGTACATGTATCATTGAAAATTTACTATATTCACGAATTTATACTGAATTATGTATGAATTTATATGTATGATGCGTGCATTGTATGATATCTGTGAACTTTTTACAAAAAGGAAAGCTGTGATATACACTCAAATGTATATATATTCTGTATATATCCTTATATGTTTATATGACTATATAATATTACGTAAGATACTATAGTGCACATATCTATCATGTTATATCTGTATATGTGAAAATTAATTATTTATCACCTATATGTTTAAAAAATGATGTTATGACTTGCCAGTAAAATCTCTTGTTCATAAAATAATTTTCAGTCAGTATCAAGAGCCTCACATATTATACTATCAAAGAAATTATTTTGATAAAATGTATATTGTGAAAGTATTTCATCCTTTATTTCCTCCTTTAAAGTATTTATTCTTGTTGGCTAGGTGACTTCTTGATTTTATGTATTATTTTTTACATTTGTATTTTTCTATATATCTGCTCACTTTTACAAGTCAAGACATACAATTACCTGCCAGTATCATAAAATCTTCTCTCAGTACAGGTGGTGGGGTAGCCCAGTGGTTAAAGCGTTCGCTTGTCACCCTGAAGACCCGGGTTTGATTCCCACAGTGTGTGAAGCCCATTTCTGTTGTACCACGCCATGATATTGCGGAAATATTGCTAAAAGCAGAGTAAAGCCAACTCACTCACTCACTCTTTCCAGTCCAGTACTATACAACACGATTTTTACTTGACCAGTATTGTGTTTTGTTGTGTTGATCTGATGTCGTCCGTTATTTATTAAGCTGTTTTCATTTTGATACATGTTTCTATCACAGATTTATTATGTCGCTATCAACCTAGTCCTGTCAAATATAAATAAATCTAAATGAAGTTGTATTTTCAAATAATAAAGATAGTTTGAAATTCATGTTTTCTGTTTTACAATCTATGGCTGCTATGTTCCAGTTGTGAATGGTTCCTGGGATTACACACTACAGTCAGCTATCATCTGTGAGGTGAGGTGAGGTGAAATTGGGCTTAACGTCGTGCTTGAGAATATTTCGCTCATATGACGACGTGCATGCGTGTGTATGTGTATGTGCTGCTGCTTGTACTAGCCCAGACTGAAGCTGGTTTGATAGTGCTATCCCACTGAGATACCATACCACAGTGAAGCATGAATACCCCACTCAGACACATTATACTGACTCTGAGCCGACCAGTCCTTGTACCCATTAATGTCGAGCGCCAGGCAGGGACCAACAAGTACCATATTTTAACGTCTTATGGTATGACGCGGCCGGGGATCGAACCTGCGACCTTCCGCTTTCCTGGCGGACGCTCTAACCACTACACCATGAAGGCGGTCGTATCATCTGTGAAAACATGGACCTTCAGGGCAGTGGGGCTAGCCTAGTGGTTAAAGCATCCACTCATCATGACAAAGTGAGTGAGTGAGTTGCGATTTACAGCATTAACATTCCAGCTATATGGCGGCGGTCTGTAATTAATCGAGTCTGGACCAGACAATCCAGTGATGAACAACATGAGCATCGATCTGCGCAATTGGGAACTGATGACATGTGTCAACCATGCCAGCGAGTCTGACCACCTGATCCCTTTAGTCGCCTCTTACGACATGGGTTACTGAAGGCCAATATTCTAACCCAGACCTACATGGGTCATCATGATAAAGAGCCGGGTTCGATTCCCCACATGGGTACAATGTGTGAAGCCTGTTTCTAGTGTCCTCCTGACATGATAATGCTTGTATATGTTAGTAGTGGCGTAAGATTATACTCACACCATAGTGTTGTACTGATGCTTGTCTATTTGAAGTCAAGTGATGACATGAAGCCTTGTACAACTCACACAAGTCAAATAAGTCCTACTGTGTGTAACGGACAAGGGTAGACAGTCTTGCTGCAATGCATATAGAATTACATCCCTTGATCACCTGGGAAACCTGTAATAGTTGGTTCAAATAATAGTTTGCCTCAGTTATTGTTTGTAAGCCTGTGATAAACTATATAGCCACCTTACAAATGTTCTGTGGACTGAGACCCTGCATCACTTAGGCTTTCCTCTCACACCAAGTTGACATGCTGTGTTAGAACTGGAATATTGTTGAAACTGGCATAAAACCCACCTCACTCACTACACTGTGGATATTGACACAAAGAAGAATAGATGGCTAGAAAGCTGCTGTGTCAATCATCATTGAACTCGCTGGTTTCCCAGAATGTGTATGTGTTGTGATTCACTGGTTCAATACAAGGATAGTTTGTAAAACCTACATTATAAGCACAGACAGTGATACTATATGGATTTCAAGCCAACCAGTTCTTGTTTTATCCTCTTAATGCCGAGCACCAGGCACTGTAACATCAAGTACCATCTTTTAATGTCTTTTGATGTGATTCGGCTGATAAAACCACTTACTGCTCTCTGGACGCGTAATCTTTCCAATACATGACAAAGTTTGTCCACATGACAGAGGCTTGTTCTTTGTGTAACGCCGTACTCAGCAATATTCCCGCTATATGTCAGCCACACGACAAGACATAAGTGTTCCACACTATAGAGACAAGCAGACACACTGTTCATAAAAGTAGGTTTTTATTAGAAGATTTTTATGTTTGAAGAATATCAACCATGGCAATCAAGTGAGTGAATATATTGTTTTAATAAATGTGACTTACACAGAAACTTGGCAGTTCTCACACAAACGGGAAGCTACAAGTGTCACTCCAACTGTCAAACATTACATGGACACCTAAAACTACAGTATTAACATAGCTGTGCAGTAGCTTCCTACATTTTCACCAACTGATGAAGTCACTTATACAGAAGCTTAATGCCACAGACAAGTGGACAGTCATTTGCATGCATGATTTGAAACAGTGCAGTGCTTTACTTTCAAACCTACACAGTTGTAGCATCATTGTCGGGGTATATTTTCATGATCACACTTGCAGAATTATGATAGTGCTTCCATCCATTTCTGTTGAAGAAATATTAAAAGTGTTAAACTTTCATGCCCTCTGTTGTAGAAATATTGTAGTGTTTTACTTTTATTATTTTCACACTCTCTGTGTTTAAACAAAAATAAAAATTAACCACACAAATTTGGAAACAATTGTGATACTTTCAAACTCCTAAAGCTCCGACGGAATAAAGCAATCACAAGTTCCAAAGGAACTGGGAGTGACACTTGTAGACACAACAGTCCAGCTCAGCGACGTCACCTCCCAAAACGCAACTCCGCAATTATTACAATCAAAAGATTTAAGTACAATGCACTATGTCATATAAACACAATTTGCATAAATATGATGACAAAATGTCATGAAAGCATTTATAACTCTTGGAGCCATAGGAAAACTGCATCTTCTATCATGTACATAGGACAAAGCACAATGATTGGTCACATTAAATACAGCATTGAAGAGGTATGGATTTCATTTTCATTTTCACAACCTCTAAAACTTGAATCATGTTGAAATTAGCAAATGTTGCCTCAACTAAAGGGACACAACTCTGTCGGATTTGATGCTGTATTTTCGACAACAATTATGAACTGAAGGTGAGGGGTTAGTCAGTAAGATACATAACCCAACTCAGCTAGCTGGTCTATGATGGGTGGTACAAGGAGTATTCGAAAGATGTGTCACGATTCACCAATGTACTAATGTATCATATACATTTCAGGGGCGGATACAGCTTTTTGAGAAAGGGGGGTGCACACTTCATTTTTACCCGAGTTTCAATGGTCATTTAACAAACTTTCAGCACAAAAGGGTGGGGGGGGGTGCGCACCCCTCCTCTAGATCCGCCTATGCATTTGTATTTACACTGGATGATATGATAAGATCACTTTAAATATTCTTTTCGAGTAATATTTACTATGTTTTTAAAAAACACTCTGGATAGCATTATTTTTAACCACCTACCACAAAACAAAAGGTTAACTCTGCTAAATATGAATTAATCAGTCTTCCAGATTACATATGAACTTGTTCACTAGGCTTTTTGAAACATGGGAAATTCATTGAAAATTGTCGCAAATTGAATATGGCCATAGACATGCCCCGTGTATCACATGTGAATCATATTGTGACCCCTACTATTACAGTACAATGTAGCAGCCATTGTGGACAACCAATACCCTTTAAGGATTGAAAGGATGAGGTAGTGGTGACTTATGACCATGAAATATATCCTCATCTTCTCACATAAAGGCTATTTCAGGTTAATGGTTATTAGTTCGACCTTTGACAGCTTCTTATTTGAAACAAATAAATCAGCACCTTGGGCTCTGTCTAAAATGCACAATATTGGAAAATCTCCTGACTCACACTGAGTAATTGAGTTGATTTAACACAAAGGTAGGCTCCTAACAAACCAATAATCATTAATCAAGGACTTAAATCCATTATCACAGGATCCTAGCTAATTTATGACACACAACTCTGCAGGGACAATTATATTTTAAAACCCCAAGCATTTACAGTTATCATAATAGTATAACTTGAATTATTTCCACATTGATATCTTTCTATAACTATTTCATGAAACAAGAGACTACATTTATTGTGTGGTTTTCGTAAAATCAAATTATTGAATGACATACTTCAGTGGTGTAGTTTGGTACACAGTCTCTGTTTTTCATTTCTGACTTGAACTGGCATACTAGCTCCTGATTTATCTTAACAAGCTGTTCTCCAGTTTCATTCCCTCGATCATGTACGTAACGGATGCATGATTGTCAGTGAATGGCTTTGAACAGCACCTGCATGGTGTCACCTGAAAACTCATGACATTACACAGGCTGAGTACATTACTCAAAATTTGTTAGGGATCAAAATAGACCTCAGGGAATGATCTTTAGCAAATGTTGAGCTGTATATTACAATAGTTTGACAGTCCTGTCCTTGGGTAGATTATTAATGAAATGTTCATTCTCAGACATCAAGTTATGAACATGATCTCAGTGGTTTTACAATTCTATCTAAAAATATAGTAAAAAAAATGAAATGGCATGTTCTTACTACGATTAACAAATTATCAGCAGTTTTTATTACTCAACATTAATGCAACCTAACCCGTATCTATTTGGTTGTTCTCAAGCTATATTACAGCCTCTCTGTAAATCTTCAAGTGTGGGACAAGGAAACCAGTGATTTGACCATTCCAGTTGGAAGAACAGAAAAGATCTATTCTTTCCCTATTCCACTCATGAAAGAAGCACTAAAACAACTCAATGCCAATGATGCAATACTGTGTAGTAATCTGTATGAAAGAGAACTTGCTGAAGATACAGAGTATATACATCAGTGTCTACATTTGTTATTTTCTCTGTCAGTAGAGAATAAAATATCATTTAGTAATCAGGATTTAGATTAGAATCCATTTTAATTTCAAGAACCTACATATCACATGTTTATACTGAATAATACAATCCACTGATCTGGCAAGCAAGGATCATAACCTTGTTGAACCTGGGATTCAAACTAACTACAGCACATCCTGCATTGTCCAAGGGACATAATCAGATACTATCACAAGAGTGATGTTATTTGTCCTTCTGCAATAGCTATCAGTTACATTGCTAGACTAAGCTATCTGCTAATTCTACAATACACTAGTATATTTTGTATGTAACTACAAAACGATAAATACAAAGTGGTACTCTCACAAGACATACAAAATCACGAGACAGAAAATGTACAATGAGATATTATCCTCACAACAAATACAATACAAGGATACAAAACATGAAAAAAATTGTTTCTATATAAATTTGGCACAAATGGACTACAAAATGGATCAGGATACAAAAAGTAAACAAAATCATGTTACTTGTATGCAATAGAACACGAGCATGTAACAAAGCACCACGTGGTCACTGACATGTCTGAGAACCAA